GAGGACGGGGGACGACCCTGACATCTGTACAGGACACAGAGGTATGCTGAGACTTGGAGAACACGTTCCTACTGTGGCTGAGGCTTAGTTAGGAAATAATTATATGCACAGCTGAATGAAAACTGCGGGGTATTTACAAATGAGGTGTAGATGGCAGGTTTGGTTTTTCTTACATTTTTCCATAAGGTTCATCCATTTGATTATCTAAATAGGATTACCTGCTGAAAGAGTCCTTGTCATTACTGACCAGTCCTAGTGGGATTTTGATACAGGACTTGGGATTTTTGTCTCATCATAACAGTGCAGACCAGTGGAAACTCTGGAAGTAGATGTGACCTGATAAAGGCAGCCTTGAGGATGGCCATCTTGGGGCAATAGGCAGGATCGAACGGAAGGGGTGACAGAAAGCAAGGTCCGCAGGATGCAGACCAACCCCCCTGTGCCAGGCGCTGGACAGGAAGCACGGGCAGGACATGGGGCAGGCTGAGGCAGCCTTGCTTGGTGAGGTAGCGACTTCGTGAGCATGCTGGGATGTGATGCAATTGGAAAACAGTAAGAGAGAAGTCTTGAAAGAACACAGAGAGATGTTGGCTGTGGAAGGCTGGGGGTGGAGGTGAGACCCAGATGCCTTAGAACTTGTGGAATCCAGATAAGAGCACATGTGGGACAGAAGGAGAACTGGGTCTGGAGGAAGACCTTGAGTATGGATTTGGATGTGCTTGTTTGCGGCATGGAGGGAAGAAAGGGCAGCTAGGTGGTGACTGAGCCCCAGAGAATTCCCACAGTCAGGAGACCCCGGCATAGCTCTGCTTGCCTTCTTTTACAGACATTTTGTGTGCATGGCATTGTGCTGGGGCCATGCAGCATCTAGGGTTGAATAAACCACCATAACCTGTGCACAAGGGGCCTTGAAGTCTGGAGAGAAGGAGCTAGTGGAGTGGGAAGCTGGGTGTGGAGTGGAAGGAGCAGCTTAGGAGTGACTCTATTTGGGTGTGAGACCTCACACCAACACTCCTCGGCTCTGGGTCTGTGGGTCAGACTTTAAACTTGTCTGTATTTTAGCTTCCTCTTCTGTAAGACTGGAATGCCAGTACCTTCTTGGAGTGAGCAGTCAGGAGATGTTGGCTAGTATTCTCTTCCCCTGATAAAACCCAGAGCTTTCTAACTTAGAAGACGGTTTAAGAACAAATATCCATCCCAGAAATGTCTAGGTATGGAAGAATTTCAAGGGAAGCTGGATTTGCCAGAACATAACTAGTTCTCTAGCAGGAGTGTGGCCCTGCTGTTCCACCTCTGGGGGGTACCTGGTCCTCTCCTCCACCTTTCTTCATGTCCCAGTCGGGGACCCTCTTGCTACAGGGTGACAGGGTTAGGATGCAAATCCATGAAATTCTACATCTGTAGGCATTGCAAAGGTCACTTCAAACCACTCTTACACAAGTTAATGAGACTAATGATCTGACCATGCCTGACAGGCTAGTATGATGTAAAGATTATGTATAAAAGTCAAACTCCAGCATATTTCTAAATTCTCCTAAATACAAATCTAAATGTGTTTCCTACCCCAGAAAAATTCAGTGTCCTTCTTTGACTTGAAAGTAGACCAGACTTCCTCCCTCCTGTGTTGAAAATCTCAAGTATGTTTTAATGTCTCCGTAAGGGAACAACAGCATGGAACTTGATATGCACAACTCAATGCAAACTGTGAAGTGTGGTTTGTGGACATTTAATCTTTTTTTCCAGAATGTTCATCAATTTGGCAATCTGAATAGAATTCGGAATCTGAGGGATTAACAGCAACTTATATGAAAATGTTAGTGACAATTTGCAGAATAAAAATTCCTACCAAATGAACTCAATTTGCTCTTAATAAGAATGTATTTCATGAAATTTAGAAAACTTAACGAGGTGCATTGAATCTTTTACTATCTGCACCCTTTTATACAACAATGGCCTAGAATAGGGGGTGGAATTTACTAAAGAAATGAAGACAAGGCTGAGCGTCGGTCAAGGCATAACCCCTTCCCTGCTCCCGTGGTGACCGCCTCTAGGACCAGGACCAACCAGGGAAGGGGTAGCTATGCAGAGGGGGAGCCAGGGCGGCCACCCCTTCCAAGTGGCTGGAGGGTGACCATTTCGTGTGTGGGGGCCTCTGCTGGTAAATGCGCTGTAACGCCCATGTGTGAGTGTGTCCGTGTGAGTGCAGCTGCAGTGCTTACACACTCTCAAGCATCGTAAAAGAGAAAACACAGCTTCCCAAAGGCCCCTACTGCACGGGGAGAATGTGTGTTTGGAATACTGACTATAATGTGTTAATGAGATATGGTCTCAGATTCATATATTTACATGCTAACCACTAAGAGGACAAATTCCAGAACTTCCTTTGAGCCCCAGGCTTCTCTCTGGTAAACCGGTGATAGTACCTGCCTCTAGGACCACGGTGAGGATTAAAGGCAGTTTATGGACAGTGCTTCCTAATTACTGGCATTTACAGACCTCCCGGTGAACGCCTTCCACAAGGTGCCAGACTGACACCGGACAGAACAGGACAGGTTAGGAGAGGACAGAACTGGATAGGTTAGGACAGGACAGGATAGGACAGGACAAGACAGGACAGGTTAGGGCAGGACAGGATAGGACAGAACAGGACAGGACAGGACGGGACAGGACAGGATGGAACAAGACAGGATAGGACAGGATGGGACGGGACAGGTGGGACAGGACGGGATGGAACAGGACAGGATAGGACAGGATGGGACGGGACAGGTGGGACAGGACGGGATGGAACAGGACAGGATAGGACAGGATGGGACGGGACGGGTGGGACAGGACGAGATGGGAGAGGATGGGACAGGACAGGACAGGATGGGACAGAACAGGTTGGCACAGGACAGGACCGGGCAGGACAGGGCGGGATAGGACGGGATAGGACAGGACAGGACAGGATGGGACAGGACAGGACAGGACAGGACAGAGTAAGTGTTCGCATTTTTCTGTTGTGCATAGTTACCTGCCCATGCAGAATACCATGCTCTTCTTGTTCTGAACTCAGCAGCTGATATGTGCATGAGCATGCTGCTGCACAAGCAAGAGTGAATTCTTACCAGTTCAGCTATCCTCTGGGGAAGCAGAACAACTCCATAGCTACAGCCATGTTTTGTTTTTTAAACTTTTTGTAATTTTTAGGGAATCAAATATTAAAAGAAAAATTAAAAAGTTAATTTGAATTATACTAGGCAAAGAACTGATTCCTCTGAAAAACAATTAACATTTAATGTCTAGTGATGTATTATATTATTATTTTATTCAACGGTAGCGGGTGAAATGGAAAGCATTCTGACAAAATTACATCTTCCAAGACTTACACTTTGATTACTCAAGACCTGTACAAGTCTACGTTTTCTGATGGTGAGACAATTTGTAGGTAAATTGTATTCAGTCCTAATCCCCCTGCTCCTTTCCTCGTGTGTTTCCCGGTGCACACGAGCCCCTCCTGCCTCTATCTTCCTCATCTCACACACAAGCTGTGGCCTGTGGCACTGAGGGACACATTAGGAAGTTCCCTTTCAGATTAAGTCCTGCTCAAGCCCCAGATCAGCAGTGTCAGCACTATCTCAGGGAATTGTGGCAGTTATGTTATTTAATCAGAGAGTTCTATGTTATATCACGTATTTGTAATGTCCCCATCTTAAAAAGATAACACATACCTTACAAGACATCTTTGACTTTTCTCCCATTACCTGAGATGGCAGCACCCCCATGACACAGAGGGGCTGAGGTTGAAACAGTTGATATGAAGGGTTGGGGCTCAGGGAAAGCAGCAGAGCTGCAGAGGACACTGTAAAAGCGACCTCGCCTGGGCTCCGCCGGCCATCCAGCTCGTGTGCACCCAGGCAGACAACTGCTGACAGCAATGCCTGATGGACACGTGAGCGTGGCTCCTCCGCTAGATTTGGACGATCAGGGAACCATATAAATAGAGGAAGACTGAGGGTTTGTTAGAAAATAATTAAGGTAGTCACTTCAAGGAACAGCCTTGGAAGTGTCTGCCAAGCTATGTTTTCCCATTATCCCAATATTTTAATAAATTTTTCATGGGAAAAAAGGGAAGGTCTGTGGTCAGATAAGTTTGGAAAACAGTGGTTTAAGCCAAGTTCAGGAGGTCTGTTTCCTGCAGGACAACATAGAGCCTTTACTCTGCTAATTCAGAAGTTCATCCAACAAGTGTAATTGAGCAGCTACGCTGGGCGCACATAACTCTGATAGTCACTGAGATGCCACTCTTGCAGAAGAAACTGTGTGCATGTGTTTGTGCACATGCATTTGCACGTGCAGTAGCTACTAAGTCTTGAGGCATAGGCACACACCGGGAACCTCTGACCTACACAACGGAACAAGAACTTGAAGATCTGAGGTGGTGATAACACTTGGGAAGCAGCTGATAAGTAGTGCCCACAGAAATTGGTAGCTCTTTTTGAGGTAGGGGAAAACACTAATTTTTCCCCACTCAGTGTGTTGCATGAACATTTTCTAATTTTCTCTGAACGCTTTCTAAGAAAATGTTGAATGCTGAATAAAGAACATTTGCTGTGCAATCAGCCCATGAAGAAACACACTGCTTTTGTGTAGATAAGTGCTCTCTCGGGTGAAGCTCTAGTGTGATGCTCAGATCTGGGATCTGTGTGTACCAATTCTGCTGGAAGGTTTCTCATAGTTCTAGAATGTTTTAGGTTACTACCCCTGAGATGTTTAACACACCAGCAGTTGCTTCAGAATACTCTGTATGATCTAATGTCATGAATTGCAGTCCTGTTTCTGAGGAATCACTGTGTCACCTTTTCAGTTGCCTGTATGAGGGCTAACAGTAGCTGATTAGTAGCTAAATAACGGTTTTGAGCAATAATACTTTCTTTTTAAAAAATAATACTTTCTTTTGAATTCTTACTATATCTCTCAAATGGTATCACAACCCAGCTTTCTTTTTGCCTTCTTTATTGCAGTTACATATGGGGCTGATGGCTTTAGGGATTTTCATGCAATAATTCCCAAATCTTTCTCTCGTAAGTATATACTTTGCTTCTAGAACACAGAAATGCATATTCATTTCATACTCAGTTTCCATAGAGTCAATATTGTGAATGCATGTTTTTTCATCACTTCCCTTCATCCTTGGAAAAATGAGATAAATTAAATATTGACCATTCTGTTCATTAAACAGCTACCATCAGGGACATCACTTCTACAGTAAAGCCATATGTGTAATGTTTTAGACTGTTGAAAGATGTTGTGTGGAGCATGCCTTTTGTGGTGGCAGTGGAATAATAGTTTACTACCTTTAGGTGGAAGTAACAGTAGTGTTAATGCGATTGTTACTCTACTAATGGTGTCAAACAGTTTTGTTGTTAATGTTATGATTATCTCCTTCTTATTGAGTATGATGATAAAATAGCCAGACTTTCTGTCACTGTTAAACAACCCAACATGTTTTCAAGATAGTTTTTACAATTTTCTAGGACAGGAGAAAGATACATACTCTCCTTCTGTTGCTCTGAAGTATTAATTTCAGAACTGAGAAGAGAAAAATCGCAGGGCTTCAAGACCGTTAGTCTGTGGTGCCTCACTGCCTGAGCAAACCCACTTAGTGCGGGACATTCCTGATCTGAGCTGTTAAACCAAAAACAGATGTTAATTTCATTTTTCTGTTTTAGGTATTGAGAGATGATAAATGATAAATATATTTGGGCAACATCCTTGAAGGAGTATTTTAAGGAATGGAGAATGCTTTTTAAAAATATACAGGTAGCTGAATATTTAAAGTGATACAAGTTCGTTGCCCCCTTAGGACTTAAGTCTTCAGAGCCTGTATTAATAAATTTTCTAATATTGGAAAACATCAGAAAACAAGTCATGCTTATTAATACTGTAACAATTATTAATACAGGTTCTAATCTAAAAGGTGTCAGTAACAGTTAGAGATAGATTTCTGACATCCTGGTTATCAAAAGCTCTTTGGTATCTAAAGGATTTAGCGGTGTCAGTCTACATGTACTCCTTTGCTCACAGCCTAGATTGATTGACTTTCCGGTATATCTGTACGAGTTACAGAAATCGCCCCCTTACTAAAGTTCCTTTGATTCAACTTTAAAACAATAGCTTGATATCTATTTCTGTGAAATTTATATGTATGTATATGTAAATGTGTGTATATGTATGTGTATGTGTGCTTACATGATATGTAAAACATGAAGTTACTAGGACAGAGAAACAATATTAATTTTGAGATGAACAATCACATTGTTGAAATGTCGAAAAGCCACAGGCACTTGAGAGTAAGGTGATGCATTCTAAGATATGTTTGCATTAAAGCTGAGGAAGATTTAGGCTCAAACATGTTGTAATGTTGAAGCAGATCCTTTGGTGAAGTCTTCAGTATGTAAAAACTTGCAGCATATAAAGATACATGATGCTTGGAGATTTTATAAGATAGATGATAGATGTTTTGATACACTTCCTGTCTATATATTTATACAAATGGTTCACAAAGTACTAGTATCTCTCTCTCTTTTTCTTGCCCAACCCCTCCCTGGTAGCCAAACTGCAAATATCCTCCTCTCACAAATGGCTGTTGATCTTGACTTCTCCAACCAAACAGCAACCCAGCTGTTCTGGGCCAACATTACCACCTAGTGGTCGTGGTGGAGAATTCTCCTCCTCACCCCTCACCACCTCTTTTCTTCCTTAAAAATGAAAAATATAACTTATTTGACCCCCTCTACTTTCCCTGTCCCAATTTGTGTCCCTAGGTACCTGAGGAAAACGTAAATATGCTTGTAACTTGTTTCTTTTTCATATTCTTCCTCTTTTCTCTCTCCCTGACTTCATTCCATTTAAAGGCTTAAAACATCAAAAAAGGATAAAAATATTTCTAATCACACATCTTGACAAGGAAGAAAACCCTGCATTTTAAATATGTTATAATAAATAGTTTCATTAACCTTACAAATCCTTGAAAGTTTTCATAAGCCTCTTTTAGAGGCAACACAAAAACATCTCCGTATCCCTTCTTTATCTCAAATTTTCATTTACTTACCCTCATTCAAGATACATCTTAAATATTTTTATTCCATTTGATTTTTACTTTCTAGTCACGACTTGCAGGAATATTTCTGTCTTCCATTTTTCATTTAAAATATTGAGCATTTCAAGCTTACATGGCTTAAACTCATACTAAACTGATGATTCAGAATATCTTTTCAGTGGAAAAATGCAGTCTGAGAAGCAAACATTTACCTTACCAGCAAATCTAAAGACACGTTCTAAAGGGGAAAAGCAGATGAAGAGAAGACAACCCATTGTGAGGTGGGGACTGCCAGTGCGCGTTATACCTGTGCATTAAGATGCTTAATCATTCATGAAGGCATACAGTGCTTGGCAGAAGATCCCAGCCTCTTGGCCCTGTTGACCCTGAGTTCCCTGGATTCTCCAGGTTCTTCAGTGCTAAGCTTGTTTCTGTGCTCAAGTCAGCCTTATGTTCAGGGGACTGGGGTCTCTCTCAGGACTGCTGTGTTACTAGTAACATAGAAGACCTCTAAAATATGTAACAATAACATTTTAACTTTTCCCAATTTTAAAGAGCATCTAGGAAGGAAAGTAGCTTTGACTCAGGGTTTGAAGGCATCCACTCTTAATATAAGTCATCTTTATTCAGTAATAAAATTGGGCCCCTGTCCATTAGCCTTCGGTAGTCAATTGAAGAGCTGCAGGGTTAGGCCTGAGCCAGAGTGTTCCGGGATAAAGAAAAGCACAGGTCTCCATTTCACGTTCTATATTTAATTGGTTCAATTCAGCTCCTTACTGGGTTCAACATTTTTCTAAGTGGTGGGGGATGGAGTTACAAAATATTTATAAGTCCCTATATTCAGGGGAGTATAACATTTCATAGAAACAGTACTGCAGCTGAGCAGTTCCGGCTCCGAGGAAATGGAGCAGATGGAGTGATTTAGGAATTCACAGAAGGGTGGGCCAGTCCACATGAGCCCGTGTTAGCTCTCCATAGAGACAACGTCCGTGGGGTGGACTGCAGCACAATAAATGCAAATTAGGCAAGGCCAGCTATTTCCTGGAACTGATTATGGGGCGGGTCTGATCTGCACCGTTCAAGGAGTGCCAGTTATGGAGACAACGAGAGGACTCGCCATGCGGCGTTGAGAGAGGAACGTAGGCGTCATGCATATCCCTCCAGGTGGGCTCCAGGGTATTTGAATGTCAAACTTCCAGAAATGGGCAGCTTAAATAAGTGCCGGTTATCCATTCCCCCCTCACTAGTTGAAGCATCTGCTGGTGCCGTTGACTTCTGCAGGCTCCAGAATTCAAGATAACGGGCCCACGAACTCTCAACCAGACCCGCTGAGCCTCCCTCACAGGTGCATACAGAGGTGTAGGAACAGGCCCTCCGCACAAGTGCGCGTCCCTTCTGGCTCCTTGAGTGACAGGCCACCCACAGAAGGAGCTCACCAGCCGCGGTGCCCGCAAGCTCCGGGCATCACCCCTCTGCTCCTCTGTGCTGGGTGGAGGCCTCTCAGGGCAGGGAGCTCCCCTCTCGGAGGAACCCCTGATCCCTCCTGTGCCTCTCCTCCTGGCTTCTCTCCACTCAGCAGCCAGACCAGGAAGTGCTGATCCCGTTCGCTCAAGGGGCTTGAGAAGGCGTCTCAGCCCAAGGTTTCTCTCTCTGAGCCCAGCCTGTCCAGTCCCATCAATGTCCCCATAGGAATTGGTTTCAATCCCCCACTCACTCCCTGCCTTCTCACCCACTCTGGGCTTTGCTTGCCTTTTTTAAAGGAAGCCTGTGGCCTGGCCAATGCAAGGAACTCCGGATTCCAATCAGTGCGAGACCCCAAGACTGCATCTTCTGGTTTTCTTTTTTCTAACATGTCACTAATGGAACTTACCATCAGCTAAAACCCCAAAAGCGTTTTTCACACCTACATAAGTGAAGCCAAGACCCCCCCTTCTCGAGCTTGTGTTTTTAAAATGTGAATTTTAACTTAAGTGGACCTTACTTTTATATCTATTAGATTTCAACTTTTGAGATCCAGTCTCTGTTTGCCACTTGTTAAGATAGTTTCATGCCCTGATTTCTGTCATCTACAAAAATGGTAAGCATGATGCCTGTGTTCTCCTCCTAGCCAGGTGAGAGACCCCTTTTTCATGGACACCCTCTTTGGGTATGCAGAAATCTCTCCATCTCTTCTATGCTGCCAGCACCCGGTTTGCATTTGTCCCCAAAGAGATGAGAACTTTCTCCCCATATTTAGAGAAAATCACACGTGCTTGAATCTGACATACCCCGTGGCTGACAGTGTTGCCCACATTGTTCTCACAGATCCCACTCGCCCCCACATTCATCCTTTCCCTCTCTTTGTCCCCACAGACCTTTCCTGTCCTAATGTGACCTAGACTTTGTCCCCAGAGTGCTAGCAAGCTTCCAGGTCTAAAATGCTCGACATCTGCCATCTGACTCCTATTTCAAAATGTGTACGGTGCTTGCTTACATGGAGCCCCCTGTCCAGGTCCCCTTCCTCATGGTTCCTTGATCTTGCCTCCGTGCTCTTGGATATTGTCTGCATACTTTTTTTCACAAACCTAGAACATCACCGGATGTTGAATTTTATTCTTTGAGCTTTGCCTCTTCTGCACCTGGGGATCCACAGTGATCTCAGGATAATTTATGATAAGCTCTCATGCCCTTTAAGCCTCCTGGTCTTTTGGTTCTGTTACAGTTCTCGGAGTAAAAGTCACCTGGCATGATAATAACAAAATCCTGCCTTCAAGCACCGCTAGTCAAATTAGTGACTGGCATCCAGTCTTCTGGCTGGAGGACCTCTGTGGTGTTTAAGGGTATCCATCCCATGCCTTCCCCTCCTGCTATCCTCGTCCCCTCCCTCCTGACACAGCTTGACCTTCTCTGCAAGCAGCCTCCTGTAGCAGAGTATGTGCTCCTGATGTCAGGATCCTAAATGTCACCCCCGTGCTTTCCTGCTCTTCTGCTCCTCCCTGGGAAGTGCCCACACCATCATCAACAACCCAAGCCACAGAGCCTACCAAAGGGTGGCAAAAATACCTGTCTTTCTGAATAATGCAGAACAGGTGAGAGTTTCTGGCAAGTGCCATATGTGTATCCTTGGGAAAGACAGAGTCAGTTCTGTGTAACTGGTTGCCTCTAAATTAATGAAATGGAGCCGACTGGAGGAACATGCTAAGGGGACTATCCCAGCCCTTGTTCGTCTGTGTGGGTTCCCCCTTCCAGCCACGGGTGCCCTTGACCTGCACCCTGCGCCGCAGCCCTGTGTCTCAGCTCCAGTGTCTCAGCTCCCGTGGTTGGAGAACTGACCACACCAGCAATAATTTGCTCCACTGTGCTCTGGAATGCCTCAATCTCATTTAAAAAAAAAAAAAAAAAAAAACCATGCAATGCATGATTAAAAATAATCCCAGGTTAAGGAGCTCAGAGGTCTTTGAAACTTTGTTGTCGTGTTTCCAGAGCATTCAGTGCAGAACCTGCTGGGCAGCGAGCCCTAGGGAATTAGCTTCCACCTGAAAAGATACACGCACATCCCTGAGAACACCAATTCCAGAGCTCAGGGGTCACCCACCTCCCCTGCTGGTCTCCTCTCCTACACTCACTGTGTCAGGACTCTGTCCCTTGTCTCTGGCAGCTGGGAGAAGTCAGCAGGAAGCTGCCTGGAAACAGGGTGCTTCTGCGTCTCTGGTCTTCGGAATCTTGTAGGGAAGTGCACTTGGGGACGGTCTCTTACTGGATTTCTCAGAGTGGTCCTGAGTAATGCTGGGTTCTGATGGGAAGAATACTCCCTCATTTCTGGGCTCTCAAAGTCCACAGTGAGAGCTGTGGCCCATGTTCCATTCACTTATTCGTCTGTAAGTCTTTTCTCCAAAGAGCTAATGAGAACGCCTTGTCAGTATAGTGGTTAGGAGTGTGGGCACTGGAGCCAGGCTGCCTGCAGTACCTCCCAGCTCTGCCACTTCCTAGCTGTGTGACCTTAGGCAAGTTGTTCAACCTCTCTGTGCCTGAACTTCTTCGATGATAAAATAGGATAATAATAGTACCTCCTTTATTGGGTTGTCATGAGAGTTAAATACTACAGTGCAATTAAATTGCTGTGTGCCTGGCACATGGTAAGTGCCGTGAACATTATTGGGGTGAGGCAGGGCCCTCCTCCACGAGATGGCTCTATTGGGAATGACCTTCCACTTGCCATGCCCAGTCACTCTCCTGAGCTAACTTCCCATCTGTTTACCCACTAAATCCTTAACATCCCTGTTCATCCAGTGCTGATAGTTCCTGTTTTTACAGGTAAGGAAACCAGGGCACAGAGAAGTTACGTGACTCACTCAAGATCTGAGCTTAGGAAGAGTGGAGCTGAGATTCCCATCCAGGAATTTTGATTTCAGAGTCTGGGTGCTAGACTTCCAAATCAAGAGGAATGTGTTGAATACAGTAAACTTGGAGTGTTATTAACTAAGTTGGTTATTTAAAACAGTTGTTCTCAGACTTGAGTGTACACAGAATCCCCCGGAGCACTCGGGCAAACGTGCGGTGCTGGGCGCACCCCCACGCCTAGTTCAGTGGGTCTGGGGTGAACCCGAGAATTTGCTCTTCTAACAAGTCCTCAGGTACTGCTGATGCTGCTGTCCAGGGACCAAACTGTGAGAACCACTGATTCAAAACATCTGGCAAAGATTTGGTCCATCGCGACCGTCATCTGTCTCAGCGATCATTTTACTTGGCAAAATTTCCCTACCTCCTCTTGTTAATCTGTAGACTGTGATCAAAATGATGGTTTTCAGTGTAAGTGCAGTTTCTCCTGGTCATTACAGTGCTGGATTCATCCGTTCACGTCAGTCAGCGTTTCAGAAGAATGCAAACAAAATGTTTCTGATTTTCTTTACCAAGAAAAATATGCAAATAACATAAATAATTACCCTAAATGTGACTTAAAGGAAAATGATAATGCAGAGTAAATAGTGTTTGTTGTCGTCATTAACACCAGCCCTTCACCCCGCCCCCACGCATCTTTCTCTTTGCAAAGCTATTCTAGATCTCTGACATTTACACACTATCGCAATCCACCCTTCAGCAGTTGGAAGAAATGTAAAAAATTATGCTTCTACTTTAGGACACAGGTTTTATTATTATTGTGAAATAAAAAGGAATTAGAATGATCCTATACTAAAGAAACAAACAAAAATCTTTCCAGAATCTGTGGTCAGAAATCTGAGCATGTGTTTGCTGAGTTTTATCCCAAAGTTTATTGATACGTGAAACAAGGAAAGTTAGCATTTTAAGTAGGAGACGTTTTTCAGCCTTGATAACCAATTACAAGGAGTTTCAACAAACAGGGTCGCCCTCCTTGGGAGCCAGATTACCTGATCAAGTCTCACCTTCTGGTGTGAGGGGTTCATCTGTGGGTAGGGTGTAGGATTCAGCCTCACGTCCCTCCGGAGGTGCCACAAGGCTGTCACCGTGGATCCGGTGACCTTAACCTGCTTAGAGTGAGGGCCCCACTCTAAAGTGAGAATTTATAAACAGCTGTTTCATGCATTTTCGGACACTGCCATTCGGACCTGTGGAGAGGGCCGGCAGGCAGGTCATCCCAAACCTGCTCTGCTTCCTGTGGCGCGACCTGGAAGCCCCTGCAGGCCACACGTCTAGAGCTCAGGGCTCTGTCCCCGTGGTATAAGCCGCTAAGAACCTTCTGTTGAGGAGCACTCAGCTTCTATTTGGTTGTCTTTTTGCTGCTGTGTTGCTTTGTTTTGTTTTTTGCGATGACACTGAGTGGCACCCTGTATTGTTTCTTTCAGCCAGTAATGTTAAAGTAGAGACTCAGAGTGATGAAGAGAATGGGCGTGCCTGTGAAATGAATGGGGAAGAATGTGCGGAGGATTTACGAATGCTTGATGCCTCGGGAGAGAAAATGAATGGCTCCCACAGTGGCCAAGGCAACAAAGCTTTGTCGGGAGCTGGAGGCATTCGACTTCCTAACGGCAAACTAAAGTGTGATGTCTGTGGGATAATTTGCATCGGCCCCAATGTGCTCATGGTCCACAAAAGAAGCCACACTGGTAAGGCCTGGCGTAGTTCCTCCGTTAGTGGCCTGGCAAAGGCCCGTGGGGTATTGCAGGAGACGCGTATCCTGTCCTAGCTGACGTTACGGGAGGAAGATATCCTGTCTCAGTTGTGTGTTCTGAGCCTGTTGCAGATGGACTGGCAGAGCTGCAGCGGCTCCAGGTCATAGCGGGGCATAGCCTTCTTATTCTGGAACAACCTCCAACAGGACTTCTAAACACGCACCAATTCCGCCCTGTAAATTAAAGCGATAAAACAGAAAGGAAAAGGTAACAGCCTCATGCAAGTTCTGTCCAGGGCCTGAGGTTATACCCTCTAAATAGGGGCAGCCGAGTTGTTAGGCTGCAGGTGCCAAGTGGTTCACCCTTAAAAAAGCAAGACAATGCAAAAGAAAAAGATGGATACACCAAAATTTACGCCTCAAATTTCCTTCTGAGAAACCACGAGTAAAATATGCATTTGCTAGTATTCGGATTAACAGGGCTTGATTTTTAGAAACATTAGTGAATGGTGAAATAGCAGCAAAATTTAGTCTTTCAGAAAGAGTTCAGATCAGTTTTCAGATGGCTTACCCTCCAACAGGGGAGACTCTGAGCAAGATTGTTTGATTCCAGCTAGTTTTCACCTCAAATTGGTAAAGAATTGAATATCAAATCCTTGTCTATTGGAGCCTTTAGAAGTATAAAAGAATATAGTATTCTCATCTGCAAATGAAGGAGGGAGAACAGTCTAGTGTCAGATGGCTGTGCCCCAGCTCCTGAGACGTTCTCACACTGGGGGTGGGGGAAGTGGTCCCAGTTCCCCGCTCCATGCTCCCCAGGACTCGGTCTTGGCGACTGACCAGTCACATATTTTTCCACCAGAACTGTCGAGTCACCACTAATGGCACTAGAGAGTCTTCAAAATACAGTGTTAATGGGATGCATTTCACCTTTAACTGTATGCATGAAGTGTCTTTTGAATTGAACAGAAACTTTACTCTTTGCCCACCCTAGGGGTGGGCAAAACACAGTAAATTCACAAACTCTAGTGGCCACTTAAAGTTTGAACATAAAATGGAAACCCTGAGTCATCACTGTCTAGGGGGTGGCACCTGTAGGTCATCATAAAGCCAGTATCTGCCACCACACTCCACAGGAGGAGAAACAAACCAGTCAGAGGAAAAGCATACTTTGGAGGCACAGCAGATTTCATAAGATATCTCAGGGAAGTGAGGAAGAAGACTTGAAAATCATGTGATTCTTACTTGGGGCCCACAAATATAGAATTATCAAAAATTAAGCAGGAATTCAGAAAATTCGTTGAGCAAAAAAGGTGTCAGAGAATGCAGATGTTTGTGGACTTGTAATTTTTATATCTGAATCAGGACAGTTTCCAAAATGATGTCTTCCATTTGTAATACATCTGGAAAACCATGAAATATGTTTATTTTCAATAAACATTCATTTTCAATAAAATGGAACTTCTAAAATTAAGCAAACTTTGCTTTTCCTAATGTGTCCCTTAATCCTCACATTATCCAGTGAAATAGTCCCATCACCTCGAGCCCTAAGTTAGGGTTGCCTGAGAGTTGTCACACTCGCCCCTTTCGTAGTGAGGTGGGCGCGGAGGTGCAGTAGGATACCTAGGCGATTCATGGATGTGCTGGGACCCGTGGTATTTCACCCCTGCTGGAGGAACAGACGTCCAGATGAGTTGCTTTCCTGCTAATTCATGTAAAGCCTGACTATACAGTGAAAATTCTCTTAAATAAATATTTGATAAATGAATCAAATACTGGCATACTAAATTGCCAAAATATCATGACTGCCTGACCTGACAAAAAGAGTAATTGCATTTAATGAATAAACCTGCCAAGTACAGATATGCAGGGTAGCATCAGCTGTTAGCCACCCACCTCTACCCACAAACAGTGGCTAAGTGCCAACTACACACCAACAAAGAGTTCTTCACTTACAGAACAAGTACATTTGAGAAATAGGGACAGAGAGACCATCAGTTTTATAGTTCCTGCCTTGACTTTTATTTAAAAACAAAACAAAACACCTGAAACAATGAACTCATGGATTGTCTTCATAGTGCATTTCCACTTGCATAAATATAGAGGGTCACAGGCAGATACAGAAACACATTGGCCAAACTAGGTTTGAATAACTAGACATGCTAGAAAGGTTTTCATTTTCCTGGGATCTGAGTGGAATATGTTAGAAAAGACATGCTTTACTAACCACCGACTCCGCCCTGAATTCTCTAAGTTTAAAAACATTTCTGGTGCCTCTCAAACTCCACGGGCACACAAATCACTCGGGGATCCTGTGAAAGTGCAGACTCTGATTGCAACCCCGGAGTCGTGGGGGTGCTGGAGCATGGACCCCGAGCATCTGTAGATGGTAGGATGGGCAATGGAGTAGTGAACTGTAGACAGTGCCCTTTCAGAGGGCTGTTCATCTGGGAGCCGAGGTACGACCTAACAGATTTTCCACAAGCAGGACTTGCCTCTGCCTGTCACCGAGTGAGCCGGCTCCCGGGGCTTCCTCCCCTGGTAAACTGCGGCTTTCAGGGGCAATCTCCCCTGGTAGAACCCTCGCCTCGGCCCACATCACCCCCTTGGTGGGGGGCCGTTGGTGCCATTGTCCAAGTGGTTCGTTGATACCACCACTTCGCTTCCCTAGTTTTGCTGCTCAGTTTCATTTTTTTTAACTCAAGCGTAATAGTGATGGTTTCTCCACCTCCATCTCAGGGTTAATGTGAGAACCAGAGGGGAGAGTGGTATGAAGGAATCATAAAGTGCAGAGAAACCCGACCACGCAAATATGCAGCATTATTATTCTAAGTGGTGGGAATTTTAACAATAAAGATCAGGAAAAGTACCTGAATCGTGGTTGTTCTGTAAGGTCCTGCGCCTACTCTGTTCCCATCTGTGGGGTGAGAAGGTGCTGTCACTGTGCTGCATAAACACAGCATGGAACTGGAATGCTGCTTCAAGGTATGGTCACAAGAGGCCCACGGGAATTCTTGCAGTTTAGGTATATTTTTTTAATTCACCTTCTTCTGATATACCCTCTGAAATTTTATGATGTAGGCATCCATGAAGACTTTCTTTTTTACCCAATTAAGTTATTAAAAGGGGCTCAAACGTTCTTATAGAGTCCCAGAAATGGCCCATCTATAGAGTAACTGAGATTAAAAACCAAATTTTGAATTAATGATATTCAAGTCCTCATGCCAATTAAATGAAAGGAAATACAACCTTGTTGTAGAGAAACTTGATCTCACTTCGCTCCAGTAAGTGAGCTATTGACCTGCGGGAGGCATGCAATTGACACTGGCCAACAGAACACAAATAATGGGGGCTATGTTCTGTCCCCCAGCTCCCGGCTCTTCTCCCTTTCCTGTCAACACTTCCAAAGGGAGACTACCTTGAGTTGAACACTCTGTGTTGTCACTCCAGGGAATGCTCTCTTCAAGAGTCCCCATGCCCTGTATTACATATTCATGCCGGCACAGGCAATCAGAAACAAATAGATTTCCAGGAAAGCTTGCCAGCAGCATTAAGACACCAGGCACAGCAGGACACACGATAACCGTTGACTCAAATTGGAAGACAGATTTCACTCTTGAAGAAACGGCCTCCTTTCTTTCCTTGCTGCCCTGTTCTGTGGAAGAGGGACATGGCTCTAATGATCTGTCCTTTCTGTCTCCACTGACTCGCTACTCCTGCAGAGACACTGGCTCCACTGCAGTATCTACCTGGGTTTTCCTTCCAGCCTTCACACCTCAGGAGAAGCGGAGAGCTCCAGCACCTGGTCAGCGTGGAAGGGTACTTCACACAGCCTCGGGTTGGGCTCGCTAGCTTTGGGTCATAACACAACACATTTATGTCACCAGGAGTGCCCTGCCTCCTTATCATAAGCATTTTTGTGGCATGAGATCTCCCAACTGACTGTCTTTCCAGAACACCCAGCCTGAGGGTCCCCCCTGTCAGAGTGCCAGCTGCGATGGGAGATATATTCCTCCCCACCCCGCCCCCAGGTCTCCCTCCACATGGTGACCACGTTACTTCTCTTTTTCCTTTTCTCTGCTTGGAGTTAAACATGCACACTCACGCACATGTGTCCCGTGAAGGCCCAGAAGTGTTTCTAATAGATGATTAAATGATCTCTCTCTATTGGACGCTCCTCAGGGCTACCTGCTACCAGCTATTTTAATCTCCTCATTCAACATGGGCTTGTAACTCAGAGATTTAGTTATAATTAGTTAGTTGTACCAACACCTTCCCATTTGCTTGTCTTTAAACCCTTTCTCTGCTCAGCCAAGTCCAATCCAGACATAGATTTGGGAAAATACTGAATACATCCTGGTTAGTGTCAGGATCCCTCCAGTTGGTCTATAATTGAATATCATTGTAAATTAGTTGCAATTTTTACAGTAGCACATCTACCCTGCCCACTTAAAAATAAAAGTGTTGATAATCATGAAATTCAGGTGCCAGTATAGATTTTTAAATGTAATCTGGTGTAGATTTTACTAGTACCAGATATGCTTCTACGTAGTCCTTTTTGATAAGTGCTATCTTCTTCACCAAAATCGTGTTAATCAATTGGGAAAATTGTTAAATATAGACTTTAACACATTCTTTTTTTCCTAAGAAAAAGTTGTTACTAGGAGACTGCATTTTCACGGTATCTCAACACCAGATATTGTGGTCACCTAGAGCTCTTCTTCTAAAAAATACATTTGTCTTCAAAAGAGCTTCAGTGTTTACTTAAACATGATGAATGTAGCACTGTTTTCAGAGAGAGCTAAATGAAATGTTCACCGATTTAGATTCTAGGACCTATGACTGCTCACTAGCATATTTCTTTCTCAGAGATACCTGGGTATCCCTTTGTGGGATCTGGAATGGAGGGAGGTGTGCTGCCACACGCAGCAGAGCTTCTGCTGTTTCCTTAGTCACGGCTCCAGCAGTAACACCCCTGAAAGCATTCCTAATAGCACCTAAATTGCACCTGCTGGAGTGTTTGTGCTGAAAAGATAACTTGTCTTCTATGAATATAGACCAATAATAGCTTAAAGATTTTAGAATTGGTGGGGAAAGCAAAAAGCTAGAAACCTCGGTGCAGCTCTGATGCTGAAGCCCTGCCGCAGGGAGATTCGGGACTGTTCTCTGGACTATGTGGAGCTTCCTTCACAGTTTCTTAACTTCTCATTTTATTCAGTCTTTCTTCTTCTCCCGCTCTCTCCCTCACACTCCCTCCGTCTGTCTCTCTCCTGATTTGCCTGCGTAGGGACAGACAGGTAATGGAGAAGAAATTGAAAGGGAGGATACAGGGAAAATGTAAATGAAAAGAAGTTATTATAACTGTTATAATGAAGTGCCTTTCATTTAAATATAAGAATGTAACGCTGAAATGAACTTGTGATCCTGAAATGCATTTTTAATGAGTTTCCTTTTTATTTTGCTGCTTCAGTGGCATATTTTAAAGACCCTTTGAAAAAAGCCACATTAAAAGCCCCACCAAATGCCACAACACGCAAAATTGGATATTGGTTTATTCCAAAACTGCTGATCAGGAAGAGTGGCTCTTCATCACAAAATGTTGCAGTCACTTTATTTAAATGAGTTTGAATTTGCATTGTGATGTGCCATTCTGATTTAGGGAAAAAAAATTAGATTTTCAGATCAAATTGACCCAACCAGTGAAGCGTTAAGGAGCTGGCAGGTTTAGTCTGAAAGCCTCATGTTCTATCAAACCTGCAGCCGGTGGAAGTCACACCGGGCCCCGTGGGAACCAACTTTCTCGCCGCGTCCCCCTCTTGTCTCCACGCCGAGTTTTGTCTCACCGACTCTCCCTCCTCTCCTCCCAGGAGAACGGCCTTTCCAGTGCAATCAGTGTGGGGCCTCCTTCACTCAGAAAGGCAACCTGCTCCGGCACATCAAGTTACACTCCGGGGAGAAGCCCTTCAAGTGCCACCTCTGCAACTACGCGTGCCGCCGGAGGGACGCCCTCACGGGCCACCTGAGGACGCACTCTGGTAGGTGCTCTGGGCGCAAGCCCGGGCTCCTAGGGACTCGGAGGCCACCCAGGTGTCCTGGGGCCCCGTGTCGCACGTGCACAGGAGCCTTCCTTGTCGGCTGGCCTGATCCCAGGGCACAGCCCTCCCTCGGGGATTGGCGGCCACTGACTGTGGCCAGTGTCCCCCTCTCCCCCTTGTATTCTTGATTTTCCACTGAACCAGAGGAGGTGGGTGGGGAAATCACACACACAGAAGTCTCACCTTAGTCAGAGTATTCAAAAGCAGCCTCCTCATCCTATTTTGTCAGGTAAGTGGTTTTTTTTTAAAGGATTTTGCCAACTGGACTTTTACTGGGTGTGCTACTATACCCAAAAAGTTTCCAAATGCATTTCTTTATGTCAGCTGTTAAGCCGCACTTACTATGGTTTTATACAGAGTGTTTCACTGGCGATCACTGGGTTAGTTTTCTTTGCAAAGGTGATTCAGGGCCTGCTGTTGCCTGTCCTGACTGGCTGGACGCCTGTTACCCGAGGGCACACCGCTCCGCCTGGGCCCCAGTGTAACTCTCACACCAGAAGCCAGTCGAGGCCTCAGTTGGAAAGGCCAGTTTGAAACTATTACCAGATTTTAATAAACGCATCCCGAATAATCCAGAGTCTCAGCTAGATCATAATTAGCATGAATGCTCAGCAATTCTCGAAACACTCCCAACCTGTGAAGCACAAATCCACCTTTGATTAGATAAGATCTTCTGCCTCCTGAGAAGTCTTCTCTGGTATTTCATTATCAAGTGGCCCTATAATCTTCCAGGTCAGAGGAAGAAAGTGTAGGTAGGGCCTGCATACTGTGCCAGACATGCCATCCAGCAGGGATATTTGGCGTAGTGCCCTGGGAGGCTCTGGGAGCGGGAGGTGATAGGCCCTCTCTCCTGCCCTCATGGAGCTCACCATCCAAATTATCTGGTCATCAGCGACTTCTGCCAAGCAGGGCACTGTGGGAGAGAAAGAAGCTTCAGACCAGCTCCTTCCTGACATCCCCGAGGCAGCACTATAAGGAGACACCTCCCCCCAGAGAAGGGGACGCCATGTCCTTGGGGAGGGCTTACCTGGGCTCAGGCCGTCTCACCCAAATGTGATGAGTGTAGTTAACACTGTGGTATGAGAGCCCTCTTCCTTGTGTCCATTTCTGGGTCATGCATTTACTGAGCACCCCAGGGACAGGTAGAGTACAAGTGCTATGACACTGGCATCCAAGGGGATGGTGGGAGCACAGGGAGGGGGCAGTCGGTCTCAGGGTGGGAGGTGTCAGGAGAGACTTCCGGTAGAAGGAGGAACTTGAGTCAGTACCGAAAGGTGCATTTCTAAAGTTTGCCTTCGGAGAAGTTCCAGATGAATGTGTAATTCTGTGAGTGATCCACATTTTAGCAAGTGTTGTCGAAATTTGGTCTTCTTCTGCAAGTGGTACCTGGGAGTGCATCCTGGAGGGAAGAGGGAGAGGAGTCACGGGGTCCTGGGAGGGCTAGTTCTCTCAGGTGTTCAGCCAGGCAATCTCCTTACATGGAGGAAGCTCCAAAATGCTCCTAATTAGAAAACCATGATGATTTGGGTGAACTTCCTAAAATCTTCCAGAAGAGGAGTTGCTCCTCCCATAGAGTGGGCAGGTCAGCAGCGGGTAACAAAAGGGCCAATGCCACTACCTCGCCATCAGGAGCAGGGCATGTGCTCAGGGTTGGGGAGGGCTTTGCTGCAGGGGACAGGGAGAGCAGGTTCCCGAAGTGGGACAGTGACAACGTGACTGTGAGCATTTTTAAATGTTTACGTGTGTCGATAATGAGGAGCATGTATGTTGTCCCACCTAGAGGTGAAGGTGTACAAGGAACTAAATGACAAACAAGGTCTGTATAGGCTTCAGATGTGACAACTATATGATCTGTGTACAGTCCTAACAGGGCATCTAGGACAAAGAAACTTCACATGTATCATTTATAAGGAGTTAACTAGACATCAACACAATTCACAGTAATACCCCAGTGGGGTTAGTAGGAAGCACAACTTCCCATGTAGGTGGAAAACACCAGGCTCATCCTGAGCTTGGCACCAACCATATCATCGTCATCCCTGGATTACTGTGACTTGCAGCAGAAATCCCTCCTGCATATCAGTCCTTAAAACTTAAAGTGATGCTGCTCTTTTCTTTCCTGTTGTGACATTAGGAACATATAATGTAGTATTTTAGGTTGTTCTGGCTCCATGCCTGCTTATTTCATTCGAGGCATGATGGTATCCTTCTCTCTAAGTATGCCTAATTTCTTGAGTAATTATATATAACAGTAGTAGACTTTGGACAGTTTATTTCTATTATGGATCCACTGATGAGCAAGTAGATAATACTGTAGTGAGAAAACCATCATTGATCCAGGGCTGCTGGTAATTCTGCCATCTGAAAATGCCATTGACACACAGCTCTTGGAAAAAGCAGTGATTTAGGTTCTACAAGATAGTTACACTGGAATGACAGGAAGACTTCAGCCTTTGTTTGCAAACTCAGATGTGGCCACATTCTATTCATTGTGAAATGGCCACTCCTCCATTCCACTAAAAGTCATGATCGACTTTATAGCAACTGGTGGTGGCCTGAGGTTCCAAAGACCAACACATCAGTGGTGGTAGAACTATAGAATTTGTCCCATACTGATAACAAGAGGAGCTTGGGAGGACTGGCAGGGTAGGGAAAGGATCGCCCTTCCTTCACTGCTTTCTCTGGAAGTTGCAAGCGTAGCTAGAGACTTTCTTTCCTGCAGAATATTGGGCTATGCTTAAAGATATACTTTAGTTCTTATGTTCCAGAGTTAAAATCAATCATATACTCAGAAAAATGGATATTCTGACACCATGCCATGTATACAGGAATTTGCTAAAGTTATAGCTTTTCCAAGAAAGGATATTGAGTGGTTATCTATTAATTTCTAAAGGCAGTGCTCAATAAAATGTGCAATTTTAGGAAATATTGTATATTTCAACATTATTTACCTGATGTTAGGGGTACAACATTATCTGCATATAAAGAAAAATCTCTTTCTTCCTCTATTAAATGTTCCAGAAGTCAAAGTTTGGTTTTCATCTTAGTCTTCTTAAACCATAGCTTCTTTTGTCTAAAGGAGAGATTTAGCCAATACAAGCTTTGGTTAAACATTCCTATTTGGGTACTATTGATTTTTATATAACATTTTCAAATATGTGAAATCTAATAATATGAGAAGGAAGTAGAAGATTTTGGTCTTAGGATGGAAATTTACTTTCCTTATATAAGTAATTGAAGATACTTTATCCATTTCATCTCTTAAAATGTTATCTATTAAAGTCTTTAAACTTAGGCATGATGTGAATTCATGCTAGTCATCTTTTCCTAACGTACCACTCAATAAAATGCAAGAAGAACTAAACTCGTTGTATAGAACTTCACTGCTCAATACAGTACCCACTAGCTATATGTTGTATTTAAATTTTAATTTTAATCAATTAAAATTAAACAAAATTAAAATTGCTGCAGGGGACAGGGAGAGCAAGTCCCCAAAGTGGGACAATGACAACGTGACCGTGAGCATTTTTAAATGTTTATGTGTGTCGATAATGAGGAGCATGTATGTTGTCCCACCATATGAATGTGTGCAAGGAACTAAGTGACAAACAAGGTCTGTATAAGCTTCAGATGTGACGACTGTATGGTCTGTGTACAATGCCTAACTGGGGATCTAGGACAAATAAACTTCACATGTGTCATTTATAAGCAGTTAACTAGACATCAACACAATTCACAGTAATTAGCTATAATTAATATTAGCTGTAATTCAGACACTAGCCATACTTCAACTGCTCAATACCCACACATGGCTGGTGGCCACCGTACTGAACACACAATTGCTACCGTATTGGACGGCACAAGAGAGAGAACAATTCCATCTTCATAGTGAGTTCTGTTGGACAGGGCTGATCTGGAAGCCACGCCATCCTAAAATTCTTTGGGGAGAAAACAGAACTTTTCTAAGTTAGAACAAGAAAATACATTTTGGAAATAAAAAGTTTATTTCATTAAAGTTTGTTTATCTGCTATGGTTTCTTAGAGACCTCAGATTTAGCCAGTTTAGCACCCTGGAATTGAATTCACTTTGGTTACATTAGATCTGCACCAATGTCATGCCAAACCTGGCCCTCAGCATAGACGTGGACAAAAGTCCAACTTTAGAGGTGAATCCGGATATTATCCGGCACCAGAGGCCTTCCTCACGTATCTGTCCAGTTTTTCGAATCCACATTATAGCGCTGCAGTGGTAGTCAAAGGACAGACTCCTGTGATTTAAGTAGGTGAGAATTTGGTAGTCAGGACAGTGGACAAATTAAGAAGAAACGAGTCACAGGAGTTCTTAGTACAATCAAGGAAACCCCTGGGCATTAACATTTTTAAATTCAGTAATTTTGACTAAGTCCATAAAGCTTTTAGCTCTCAAGAGTAGAGTTTTTTTGACTTTCTGGTAATAATTGTATTGCATGCATTCCCATTACACATAAGGCCGATATTTAATTGGGGTCTTGAACTCAATTGTGTTTTCTGCAGTTGGTAAACCTCACAAATGTGGATATTGTGGCCGAAGCTATAAACAGCGAAGCTCTTTAGAGGAACATAAAGAGCGCTGCCACAACTACTTGCAGAGCATGGGCCTTCCAGCCACGCTGTACCCAGGTAAGCGCTGAAGGCACGAGCGAGCCTGGCACTGGCTCTCCCTCCCCAGCACGCGGTGGAGAAGGCCTTCTGCACGCAGCGCTGGGAGCAGAATGCAGGCCTGCTGTGCCGCCGCCGCTGGGATGGAGGGAAGATTTTGGCCACTAAAATCACACAGTTTCACTAGGAGCACACCATGCTTCCTTCCCGACTTTCCATGTCCATGTCGAGCTCGAGAGAGCTTGACCTTAAAACCCCTCCCTCTCGACATCTGGGGAAGCTTCTAAGACAGTAGTGACCCTTGAAAGTTCTAGGATTTTTTTTTTGGTGGGGAGGGGTTGGTAATTTTTTTAACCTGGAGTATCGATTGCTTCTTTGTGCTTAGTAATCAAAATAAGATGTGAAATCCTGCTTTAAAAACTGGGTCTTCATGAAGTTGATCAAGAGCTTTCAGGCGGTGTTTTCCTTTGTGGGCGTCAGCGCCCGCCTGGAACGAGAAGTGAGCTTGTTGGAAAACCCTGACGGTCGGCAGTATTGCGGCTGTCGGAGGATTCAAGGAAAAGTTGCTTTTTTCTTATGAGCTTTGATGCTTCTCTGCATATTGCATCACGAGAGAGCACTTGACTGCAATCTTAGGTAATATAAAGTGACAGATGTAAAGAGATGGTGCGGAAGGAGGCTGAACTTACTCAGGAGGACGGCAGTGTTATAAAAGGCACTTTTTTAACTTTTTAAGACATACAAATTTATGAATAGATGAACTGAAGCTAACCTCTTTCAAAACACTATTCATTTAGCACTAGCACTAGAAAAATCATCATTGGACCGAGCGGTAGAAGTTAAATTAATAGTTGAGAATTTATTAGCCTCATTTAGCTTTCTGACTTTAATGAATGGCTCATAAAGGAAAATCTACCAGGGAACGCTCAGATTATTGTTTTTAAATTTTAAATTTTATTTTAATTTTTTTATTGTGATAAAATACATGTAACATAAAACTTACTATCTTAACCATTTATAAGTGTACACTTCAGTAGTATTAAGTACATTCAAGAACACTCAGCTTATTAATGGCAGATGGGAGCAGGGGAAAGAATGGTCAGAACGAAGTCCTAACAATCGAGTGGTCTTGGCAGTGAGAGGCAGCATGTTAACGTGGTGTGTGCTGTCTCCCCACCGACCTGCTGTCGGTCCGGGGCTGACAGCTGATCCCTCTGGGCCTTCATCTTCTTACGTGTAAAATGAGGAGATTCCATTAAGTTGTTGTTTAGCTTTTTTCAAAGTCTAAGGTCTATTTCTAGAATGGAAAGGTACTGAAGGTTAGAGGAAGAGAGAAAACTAGATATTAAAATAATAATAATAATAACTTATGAGTTATCAATTTGTGGCCAGACCCCAAGGTAGGAGATTAAGAGATGAGAGGAGGATTATAATAAAATAAAATAAAATGTAAACACTCAGATATTGTATTTTTCTGTGAAAACTAAGTTAATGGGTCTTGGATTAGTGTTTAAATGAGCCATTTATCTACTCAGCAAATATTTACTTAGGACTTATTGTCTACAGTACCAAGCCCTATTGAATATGATAATATGAATTTCCCCTTAAAACTATACACATGGAATTGAGAAGACAAAATGAACAAGAGACACAGACAGAGTCCGTTCGTTTTCTCCACCCTTTTCATTACTAAAGAAGCAAGCCGTGAAGTCACAGCAGGCTGAGAGCTGCTTCCCGGGAAGAAGCAGCAGCCCTTCACCTAGACCTGGGTTCCAATTTCATCTCTGAATCTGGTTTTAGATGTGACCAGGGCTCATCTCTTAATTGGGAGTGATAGTCCCTGCCTGGCCAACCTTGCAGAGATGCTCTGAGAGAAAGGCGGGAGGAGGAGATGTGAGAGCAAGGACACCTGAAACCTCATTCTCCTCTGTCGGCTGCCCGTGTCAGTGAGCTTGTGTCAGTGATGTGTGCATTAAATGTTAACCCTGTGGTCAGAATCAACGTGATCCTAAAATGTTCATTTATTCCCTTTGGTGATCAGATTATTTGGGATACCACACTGATGGCTTTATGTTCCTGTCCTCAGCGGATAAGAAGGCTTCTCGTGTGCAGTCAGTGCTGGTTGAAGGGAATGTTGAGGGAATCCATAGACGAACTTAAACAAAGTCCTACGAGAGTACATGTGGGACACAGGGGGCAGGCAGTGGGCTGGGGGTCTTGGCCACTTAGCTTTGCTGTGCATCTGTCATCTCCTGTCCTTCCCACACCCCCTAAGACCAGCCCCCATCAGCCCTCAGATGGACGCCCAAGGAGCTTCTTCCCTCTCTGATCCCCCTCAGATTGGGGCCATTCTCTTGGATTAGGTACAAACAAAGCCTAGCTTATAGGATGTAGAAAAGATTAATTTTTCTGAATATAGTTTTATTTGGTAAAAGGCTTTTTTGTCATCTGTTATAATTTCCTAATGTCTTTACGGAAAAAATAAGTCTCTCTTGAGCCTTAGGTGCACAAATTGTGTTACAGGCCCTTAAGAGAAATGCGTCAAGGGCAGAGTACCAGCGATCCGGGAGCTTTGGGCTCATTTGTCCCTCACTGTGATGACTCTGAGGATGTCAGAGGGTCTTGTGGGCTAGCAGAGGTGCTGTACACACCCTGGACAGGTGACGGTGCCCTGCTTTGCAGAGAAAGATGGACACCTAAGGAAGCACATTAGCTGGATAGGTCATATGTACAGCCAGTAGAATTGGACTTTATAGATCTTACCTGTCTTCCTCTCATAAATCAGGATGTGAGCTATTATTTTTGCCCATTTAATAAGAAACACACATTGCAGATGTTAAAAAATTACATATACCAGCAATAACAATTTGAAATATGTTTTCAAAGTGGCATTCATAATAGCAATGAAGACATAAAATACTTAGAAATAATTTTAGCAGGTAATATGCAAGCCATAATGAGGATACCTACCAACCACACTGAGGCAGGACAGAAAACACGGAAGGTTGAAGAGGGAGAGAGGGCTCGACACTGCACGTGTGTGTCCTCCCCACTCAAGGCATGGTGTTCACATAAAAGTGGTTTGTAAATCTTAGTGGAATGTCGTGAAGTGTATCTGGAAAAAGAAATGAGGGAATTGACATGTTTTTAAAAGAAGAGTAATATCTAGTGCTATAGTGAAATGTAACTGTAGTGTGGGACTCTTTGAAGAATAGACAGGCAAATCAATAATAGAAATGGATGAACCTCCAAAGACCTGTAGTAAATCAGCATGTCGTATCTGAGAACGAAGGAAGCATAGGCGGTGGGGTTTAAATGCACTATTCAGAAACGGTGTTAGAAGAATTGATCAGCTATTTGGAAGATAATCGGTTTACATTTTCATCTTCTTGTATGTTAGGATAAATTGCAGGGAGATGAAAGAGTTATATTTCCAAAAAGCAACCATAAAAACTAGAATACAGATGAGACTATGCAGGATACAAAGTTGTATCTTCAATTATGGAAAGAAAGAGAAGATGTAGAAAAGTAACAATCAACTAGAAACCGTCCCTACAGCAACATTTAGCTCCACATTTCTAGATTTCCACAGTCTGCAGGTGTTAATTGCTTTTCTGAGTTGCTGTGTGTTCGGGAATCAGAGCTCTGGTTCTCTCCCCATGTTGTCAGGATTTCTGTAGCATCTTGAGCGGCCGTGTTTCTTTTGCATCTCAGATCGCTGTGCCAGTCGATGAAGTGGGTCCCTTAGATCATTTCCGGCTCTGACAGTTCTTTGATTCTTAGAGGGCTGTTGTCAGGATTGACTAAGTTAGTGGATTTGGGAGTATTTTGAAAAGTTAAGAGGACTCATCAAAGGGACACAATTACTTAATTGCAGTCCAGGTTCTGGTGACAGTGTTGGGGCGTGTTCCTTTGGTCTTGGGGGATAACGTGCAGTGTCCAAGTGTCATTTGCAGGTGGCTATGGTTGGCCTCTGTCCGTCTGGCAGATTGCTGGGAAGATTAGAAATAATTTCCTCGAAGGGCCTGGCTCTTATAAGCGCTTAACAAATGTCTGATTTAACACTGGACACAACTGACTCCTTTCACAGTAAGCATTTCTAAACTGGCCTCTCTAACTGTCTTTGACTTTAGTCATTAAAGAAGAAACTAATCACAGTGAAATGGCAGAAGACCTGTGCAAGATAGGATCAGAGAGATCCCTCGTGCTGGACAGACTAGCAAGTAACGTCGCCAAACGTAAGAGCTCTATGCCTCAGAAATTTGTTGGTAAGAGTTAAACGTTTGCTGTCTCTTAAAAAAACAACTACGCGGGTGTTTTAGACTCAGGTGTTAATTAGTTGAGGGTAGAAGAAAGAAAAAAAATCTCATTTTTAAAAAGCAAAATTTGGTAAGCTTAACATTTGTTAAAAATCTTGGAATTTTTCCAATAGGCCTCTTAAAAATAACAAATCTTCTACTGGCAGTTTTTCCTAGACGTGGTCTTAGAGCACCCAGGGCACTTGGTGAGATCTGCCCGTGGATGCTTCATGTCCATCTGGGGGTGGCTGGGTCAGTGTGCACAGGGTCAAGAGTGTGGGCCTGGCTTGGCCGGGGGCTCACACGCAGCCCATACACCCTCTGCCTGAGCAGCCTCTCTAAGCTTCAGATGCTCATTTTTCACGTGGAGCTCATAATACTCCCACACGGGCTGCTCTGAAGGTTTAATGGGCGGAATTGCACAGCAACTGGCCCACAAGAAGGGCCCAGTGAAGAGGGGACACAGCTAAGATTGCTATTGTCACCATTGAGTCTCTACCTGTGCCAGGTGCTTTGAGGGATAAAAGGAAGAGTGAGGCAGCCCTTTCCTCCAGGAGCTTGTTGTCCAGTGTAGATGATAGACAAATGCACCAGTAAGCATGGTCCATGGCCAGACACTGTAAGTGCAGGAAGAATGACATCTAGTCAGATGTAAGAGTGGAAATGCACCAGATTTGGGGACCAACCTGAGAGTGTCAGTACACAGCCAGGCGTTAAGACTCTCACCTTGGCGAAATTATTTGACCTCTCCAAGCCTTGGTTCCATTCTTCACATATCTCACAGGGTTTTCTGAACATAAATTAACACCAAGGTTGTGAGAACGTTTAGAAACCCTCAATGTGAAGGTCAACTATTATCACAGGGTGATGTGGAAAGAGGACCGTGGTGGGAGGGTTATGTCTGGGAAAGAGACCATGGAGGGAGAGTCATGTACAGGAAAGAGGACCATGAGGGAAGGGTCATGTGCAGGGAAGAGGACCATGGGGGAGGGTCATGTCCAGGGAAGAGGACCTCAGTGAGAGGATCATATGCAGGGAAGAGGATCAGTAAATGCTTCGTGAAGCTGACAGTGACCTTGAGGGAGGAATAGGATTTCAGCACATTATTGATAGTGGAAGAATGGGAGAGGATTCTAGGCAGATAGATAAAAAGAAAGAGAAATGGTGATGCTGGTTGTGGGGGCTGGAGTGGGGACATATGGGACATGATTGAGGAGCAGGGTGTGTTCTGGGCTAACTCGCCCTCAGGGAAGCAATAAAAATGAAGTCCCACTAAGCTCTGGGCACAGGATGAATGGTCTTTGAATGCCAGGGTGAGAAATGTATTCTTAATTCAGTAGGCAGAAAAAAGCATTGACATATTTTTAATTGGACCAAATCTTGGAAGATAGAGACTGCAAGTGCTGACAGTTGATTGGGAGAAGGAGAGCAATGGGGTGGTAGTGGTGGGCATGGAAAGAGGAGGGTGTGGAGGCGGAAGGCTTGGTGAGAGAGGAATGTAGGGGTCAGCACAGGAATTGGGTGACGGAAACCATGAGTCGTGGTGAGTCTAGTAGAAAGTATGCCATTTGCAGAAGTCATAAAGCCAGGTTCTGGGAAAAGATAGAGTTCTGGCTTTGATCTGCTAATTTTCAAGAACTTCCTGGTATAGATGACACATGGGAACCTAAGAAGTGTATGTTAGGAGAGAAGATGAGTCTAGAATGGAGCTAATGGTTAATGAGGCTTGGGATTCCAGAGGGTGCCTGCTGTCCTACAGGACAGGACAGTAGGAAGAGGACAGGACAAAGGAGAGGCCAAGTTCTTGGGGTTCTAGCCTCCCTCTTGCACTGAAAATAGGCTCCATTTTGATCAGGTTTTAAATAGAAGTTTGTCGTAGGTTGGGGGTTGGGAGGGGTGGGGGAAGGAAGACTTTAGTTAAAAAAAACTTTTGCAAACCACTGTCTGGAGACACCGTGTGGGGAGTCGCCCACATAAATGTGAGCTTTTAGATGGTGAGAACAAGGGAGACCTTCCATTTCCTGAGCAGAGGAGGAGTGAGGTCAGGTGTGGAGAGTAGGCTGTTGGTGGTGGGATTTCAGTAGCACTGGGCTGAGGTGAGAGCGGGGCGCTCACCCCAACTCGTCCCTGACAGGCAGCGTGCAGTGGGGAGAGCGGTTGGCGGGTGAGTGGGGAGGTGGAGCAGAGACGCAGCGGCACGTGTGTCCGGGGATTGTTAAGGGTCGCTGACCTTGGGCAGCTGGGTACAACTTCCTCCTTCAGGTTGGGAAATTGGAGAATGCCAAGGGCTTTGAAAATGAACATGTGCAGCCCCTTGTAGCTTTTGGAGACTTCAATCGAAGTAAGACCCTCTGTGAAACTCAACTGTAGCCACCTTGAGTGAGACCGCAATTTAGTTGTTGTCTTGAGATTTAGATGCTTCCATGTTAAAAAAAAGAAAGGCAAGAAAACCAGCTCTGATTAAGCAAAGCTAAGATGAAGAAGCAGTCCCTGGGGAGAAGTGGCACACACACACACACACACACACACACAGGGGAAGTGTATTGGGAACAGCAGAGCGAGGACGGCAGAGTGGAATTTGGAAAGAAGGGCTCCCAAGTGGCTCTGCATTCTGCTAGGTGTTTCCCCAGAGTCTGCTGATTGGCAATTTACTTCTAGAATAATGCCTCTCCTTGCCCCCAGATGCCTACCTTGCCCTCACTTCAATTTGATGGGATTTCAATCAGCCAGTCCTAACTCGTTCACAGTTTCTCCATTTCTAAAATAAAAAAGGAGATGGATCTCTAAGGTCCCTCTTAACCTCTAGATGCTGAGTTTATCCTTTATAAAGATTCAGAAAGAGTGGTAGGAATGCAGCTATTATAATACATACATGCTGGCCCAGTAGTGGTGGAGTAGAAAGTGCTCCAAGTTTGCATCTAAGAGACCGGGGTTCAGGGTCCAGCTCCAGCTATGACTGGCTGGTGACCTTGAGCACAACACTGGACTCAGCATCCCCATCTATGAAATGGGTGTGATGCCTCCCGCCCTGCCTCCCTCCCAGTGCTATTCTGAGGATCAAAAGGGATGATGGGTGTGGCAGTGCTCTCAATGCTAGAAAGCACCTTAAAAATGTGAGATGATATTATTTTCATGTTGAATATTGCTCAGAATGGCATATATTTTTGCTTAGTTGATATGTAATCTCTGATTAAAATTTTTATATTAATCTTTGGCATAATTGTAAATAAGTATTTATTTTGCCAGCAACATTCCTCACCGTTATGTCATCAAAGATCTCATCCTCTGAGATAATCAGGTACAGGTCAACAGGGTCAATGAAGCCCATCAGAAAGGGGATAATATTACATAGCAATGCCAATCATTGTTTTTAGTCTGTTTGGTGATTGTAGTGAGAACATTTTTAAAATACGGAAGAAGAAATAGAAGAGGAAAATTACAATGATCAATATTTCTGCTACCTGTTATGATTATCTTGGTGCATTTTTTTCTTTTCAAGAAAAAAAAACTGTTGTATTATCAAAATGACACATGGTTAATATAAAGAATTTTAATGCAAAGATGACTATTTTTAAATCACCACAAAACCCAGCATCCAGAAATTACCAATATTACGAGTAGCTGAGCATCATTCTAAATATCTTTCTATTCATACGTATGTGAGTGGATAAGATGAATAGGTGGATAGATGTGTGAAATAAATACTTCTATAAGATTCTATCATATTATAGATGCTATTTCAAATGAAAGTATCACATTTACATGTCTTAAATTTAAGAGGTAGACAAGTACCAAACAAAACTGGAGGACTGGCTTATCTTCAAGTAAATATTTTCTCACAGAAAGCTATTACTTTTTAAAGGATTTCTCTAGGACTAAGAAGATATGTTATGAAAAACATTCAGACCTTCAAGTGATTTTTTAATTTGCTTCGATTTAGGCGGTATCTACTGACTCATTGCTTTGAAAAATAAGGACATTATGGCACTTCCGAATGCTCTGTTATATTATTATTTTTACATTTTCCAGCTTCATAATATTCACATTCTATTCTGTAATCATAATTCTCATAGTAGCTTAGCTATGTGTTATTAACTCCATATTTAAATAGATTCGAGGCAGACCCAGTCCTTCTACTACTATTTCTGTTTATTTTGAGGCGTCTCTACACCAGTCGGACTTCACATTCAAGCAGCTTCTTTCAGGAAGGTTCTGTAGGTGTTCTGTTTCCACAGTTGTTTGTGTTGGAGGATGTCTGCCTGTTGGCCTTTCTTTTTGAGGAGCATCTTAAGGGAGTGTGGTGTTGGGTCTCTCTTTTTCTCCCACTGAGAACTTTTTAGATCTTGCCGTGATAAGTGATGGTAAGATATCCATTTTCTCCCTGAATGCCTGAAGAGTTCTTTCTCTAACCTTAACCTTAAATACCTATCTAGGATGTGTCTTGGTGTTTTGCATTCTGAATAAAAATTCCCTCTCATTTTAATTTGGAGATTCCCTTTTTTTCTCTTTATTTCTGGCAAATTCTCTTTTTTATGTATTCAGCTTTTATTCCATCTACTGTGATCTCTATTCAGGGATACCAGTTGTCCTGATGTTGAATAATTTGTCTTCCATATCTGTTAGCATTTCTTTAAGTTTATTTTTTTTATCTTTTTCACATTTATTCACTGTTATTATCTTGTGTTTTTCCTCTATGTCAGTAATTCCATTTTTAGTAGTTTCTATTCTATTGCTTGCTGCCTCTAATCCATATATGAATTCTGTAATAATACTGTTTTGGGCCTCATTATGTTTCCTGAGCTTTGAAATCTCTTTTGTCTCATTCTGTTGTCTTAGCATGCTGTCTTTCAGTATTGTTTATTAATTGAGTCCGTATCACAGAGCCACTATGTGACATTTCCTCTCTCCCTTGAATTAAGCTTTTTTCCTAGGATAGGCTCAGTGGTCTGTGTTTTACTTCCTTTCTTCCATTGTATTGCTAGAAAATATTTTCACAGTAACCATGACATTTCTCTTCATCTTGCTTATTCTACTTGTGCTGATATAGCTTGGTTGACATTTCAACGTTCTTCCCACTGTACCTGAGACTTTTTTTTTCCTGTGAGAGCTATCGACTTCTGTAAATCCTGAAAGAATACCAAAGATGGGGTGGGGGAGTTCAGGTGAGACAAAGTGGAATCTTGGTTAAAAGACTTGCTGTCTGTTCTCCTCCCTCATCCTGCGATTTGGTTAAATGTCCTCCCTTCTCCCTTGGTTATCACTGCACTGGTTTGGAGGGTGTCCCAGCCCCACAGAGAAATACTCTGGGATGCTGGGCCGTTTCCCCTCAGTGTACAGCATCGAGGACTTCACTCCTGTCTAGAGAGCTCACTTGTCCAAGTTCTTGCTAGCAGAGGTTCCAACTGCTTTTTGATCAGAAGTGGAAAAAGACACCTATTTGAATTGATTCTCTACAGATATGAGGATATTACAGAAAATGCTGAGAATTTTGTTGATTCATACTTAATGTTTTTGGTGATGAGATCAGTAGCCAGGCTTTGCCATATATCTCTCCAGAATTTTCTTTCCTTGGTCCTTTATTTTTTTAAATAATGTAGTTCATTAGAATATGTTACTTTCTTTAGCTGATTGCCAAAGTGAATTTTGTGGGTTTTTATTTTTCTCACTTTTTGGAGTATTAGGGAAGAGAAATTCTGTGGGCAGTTTCAATATACCATGGTAATCTGAAATATATGTTGTTTTTTTTGTGCATCCATTTGTTGTTGACACCAAGTTTAAAAGAAAGATTTCAATGGTTGCTTGGGAAACCACACACATGACTTTGGGGAGAAACAGGATGATTCAGTGGGAAAGCACCATTTTTGGTGGGGCTCTAAGCACTTTTATGTTTATCAGAATTGGCCACAAAATCCACTCCCCCTCCTCTGCTTGCCAGCTTTGGTAGAGGGATAGACTGGGGTACAGGCCAGAATGCATTCATTCTGCTCTGTGGTTAGTGTGACAAGATATTTAGCACCTCAACACAGAAACAGAAAAAAATGATATGGTTTCTGTAATGCTATCCAATTACTTCTTCTAACTTTTAATGGAGAAACACCACTTTTGTGATCCCTGTGCCCAGCCTACATAGAGGTTCCCTTCTGTTGCGTTTCTGAAGAGGGTGTGGCTAGCCACCAGCAAGAGTTCTTTCTGTGGTCCAGGGATCATGCTGTACTGTTATCAGGGCATGTGCCACTCCTGACCTCCAGCAGATTAGAATGAGTGGAAGCCAGGCCGTTATATGATAAATATCTTTTACAAAGCAAGAAATGAGACTAAAGATACTTTATAGTAGGATGGGGCGTATTCCTGGGCAATTATCAATGGTTACAGAATTTTTTTTTAAAAAAAAAGGGACTATTAATAAGTCTATGAACTACAGAGTAGTTTATCCTTCTGTTGCTAAGAACTAGCAGGAGATCTCCATGTCAGGTGTCAGCATGGGGGGTGTGGGGATCCTCCCTGCCACCACCCTTACCAGCTGCCATCAGCCAAAGCCTGGACTTGGGACAGCCTGAAAGTAATTCCTTACTTTTGCTTCTCCCCAATCTGTTCTCCCCGCGGTGACTGAGAAGGGCCCTTCCTTCCTTCACATCCTCCAGTAGCCTCCACTTCCCTTTGGACAAAGCCTCGGCTTCTCCCGTCCACCAGCCCCAGGCTCTGTCTCCCCTTGGCTTTCTCTTGCTGCTCTCAGAGCCGGGACACCAAACCCCACGCGCCTGACTGACTCTTCCTAGGTCAGAAGCCTGTGTGACACTTGAAGCAAGCCTTCCTTTGCCTTCCTAGGGCTTCTCAGACTCGGATGCCCTGTCTGTGTGATCCTGCTTCAATATCTGTCTCCCTGTTAGCTGTGTGCTGAGGAAGATGGGGGCCGTTTTGACTTGCTTACCTCTCTATCCCTCCTGTCTGGTCCGTGGTAGATGCTCGATGAGCATGTGTTGAAGGAAAGAAAGGAACAGAGTGATGAAAAATGTAGACAGTTTAGACATGCCCAGTGGATGGCCTCATGTGCTTTGACTTATTAATTAACCAGCACTGAAAGAAAAGCAAATCAGTAGGCCTGACAATAAGAGTGCAGAGTTAATTAATGAATTTGCTAATTAAGCCATGGTTTCGTGCTGAACTTATAACCAATATATCGAGAAAGTATATCTTCAAGGAAATTCATTTTATTTCTTAATGAAAATGTTTACCCAAAAGCTAATTACAAGAAGCAAAATCTAGTCTCAGATTTCACCTTTCTCGGGGAAGCGAGCTTGTCTACTCCTACAAACCGTGATATTAGATCGTAAGTGTCTTGAGGCAAGGCTCCATCGCTGACAGCATCACTCGTGCCCAGTAATCTTTTGAAAGAACACGTGCATGGCACGCCTTCCCCCTGCAGCTCCCCTGGTTTGCCCCTGGCTCCCCACCACGTTATCTCTGCAGCGCAGCTCCAGTGCTGCCAATGATTGACAGGCAAGTGGGACTTGGGGCGCAGGAGCATGTGGAGACTGTTAAGTCTGAGTATCCTTTTAACTCTCACTGCAAGTCAGAGCCAGCTTTGTGTTATTGATGAGAATGATATTGTTTTATTTTAAAGAATATATAATTATATATTTTGATTGTTTTATTCTAGAGTATTAAAGTTATGAATTTAAAATATCACATGATATTATTTTAAATATATTGCGCATTATTGTGAATAATCATATAGTTATGTATTTTAATTAAATAAATTTATGGTAAATTGACTATTTATTTTAAGTTACTTAGAACACCGTATTGAAAAGATTTTGTTTAAATATTAATCTTAAATTAAATACAATAATGTTTAAGTATACCATCCATAGTAAAAGACACAAGTATTGTTTTAGTCCATTTGAATGTGTGCTGTTTAAATTGACACACACTGTCTTTGGTTCACCTATTCATTTATTCGTTTGTCCAACCAGATTTCTTTAAATGCCAACACTGGGCAGGCCCCTGTGCTCGGTGCCCACAAGGCAGTGATATCTCACCTTCCCCTATTTGGGAGGTATTCATGTGGCATGTCTGCGCATACCCCGAGATTGGGTGCCCCACCTTGGTGTAGACTTTAGCTGTTGCTGCCGCACACTTAGGAAATCCAGGCCTCACTCACTTTCACCCACTTCCCGCAGGGGACAAGTGCCTGTCAGACATGCCTTATGACAGCAGTGCCAGCTACGAGAAGGAGAATGAGATGATGCAGACCCATGTGATGGATCAAGCCATCAACAATGCCATCAGCTACCTGGGGGCCGAGTCGCTGCGCCCCCTGGTGCAGACACCCCCAGGCAGCTCTGAGGTGGTGCCGGTCATCAGCCCCATGTACCAGCTACACAAGCCCCATGCCGAGGGCCCTGCAAGGTCCAACCACTCCGCCCAGGACAGCGCCGTGGAGAATCTACTGCTGCTCTCCAAGGCCAAGTCGGTGTCCTCTGAGAGGGAGGCGTCCCCAAGCAACAGCTGTCAAGACTCCACGGACACCGAGAGCAATACTGAGGAGCAGCGGGGTGGCCTCATCTACCTGACCAACCACATCAACCCCCATGCCCGCAATGGCCTGTCCATCAAGGAGGAGCACCCAGCCTACGACATGCTGAGGGCGGCCTCTGAGAGCTCCCAGGACGCCTTCCGGGTGATCGGCACCAGCGGGGAGCAGATGAAGGTGTACAAGTGTGAACACTGCAGGGTGCTCTTCCTGGACCACGTCATGTACACCATCCACATGGGCTGCCATGGCTTCCGTGATCCTTTTGAGTGCAACATGTGTGGCTACCACAGCCAGGACAGGTACGAATTCTCGTCCCACATCACGCGGGGGGAGCACCGTTTCCACATGAGCTAAACCCTCCTCTGCTGCATGGACCCCGCAAAGAAAAGCATACAGGGCCACTGCCCTCCCCTCCCGCCAGCAGCACGGACTGGACGAGACCGTTGTGCTTTGATTCCTAGGTGGTGTTTTGTTTTGTTTTGTTTTTTTAAGTTGGTTGGTTGGGATTTGATTTGCTTTTGAAAACAAAGAGATTTTTATGGTTAGATGCAGGGTTACATTTCAAGCCCCCAAACTGCCGTGTTGTTAGACGTTTTCCTAGACTGCTAGCTGAAAGCCCCCACGTGTTGCTTCCTAGAATTCCCCTCCTCCAAACAACTCATCATTTTCAGAGAGAATTTTATAAGAACAGGCCAAAACCCGGGAAGGAAGGAGCCGGTTCCAGTGCTAAGTATGGGATTCACAGACCCAGTGTGGTTTCCAAGGCCCCAGAAGCAGTGGGCGCAGCCCCTGAAGTGTGGCCGTCCCCGCGAGCAACGCAGGTGAGCAGACCTGGGAGGTGCCCCAGCACAGCAGGGCCTGCGAACTGCACATGCACCTAGGGCTGAAAGGCTGCAGTCAAAAGAAGGTATTATTCTAAGTCATATTCTGCAGGAAAATAAATTGTTGGGGAGAAGTTGTGACTATTGGGCTCCCTGGGCAAGGAGAAGGAGAAGGAAGAGCCTTTTAGACTCATTCTCGATTTCCACACTTCTATGATGTTGCTCGGAAAACTGCTACGCCTTCTGGGCTTGTCAGGCGGAATGAACTCAGTATTCCTGGGGGCACCCCTGGAGACCACTGTGCTCTGCTTTGTCATCCCCATGCCTTTAATAGCCACAGGAGTCCGTCACTACATTTTTAACACCTAAAATCTGAACCTTAATTCCTTTTGAACCTCTCAAACGGTAAAATTCCTCAGAAACCAAAGCTTTATTAATCGAATTCCACATTCGTTTCTTTGGTTATCTGTTCCTTCCCCGGCTGGTTCTACCTATGACCAGAAACCTATTTTCCTGCAGAAGGCCCATCCTAGACATCGTTTGAACTAAGCATACCTTTTGTTTCTAGCTGCAGGCCTACAGATTTCCTGCTGTTGGTAAATTTCTTTCCCTACCATCACTGTATATTTTTCTTGTTTTAAAATCCATAAAAGAAGGACTCAGAATGACCATTAATTTTCAGACCAAGGAAATATGACAGGTGAAGCGCAGCAGACGTTGCTCACACACAGAACCTACCTGTTTGAAACTAAACTTTCAAACAATCTGAAACTCCCGTAAAGACAAAGCAACAGCCGTGTGCCCACGCGTGAATAGCTGGCGAGGCCCTGCACCCTTTCTCCCTGGGGGATTGGACTGTTCGGGGCAGCCGTCTGACAGAAGGAGGCAGTGGCACTGGAGGTCAGGGCCCCTGCCATCCATGCTGAGACATGGAGTGCTCTCTGAGGCCCCACTGAGGTGTGTGGAGATCCTAGTCCCAACCAGGAAGGGTCTCCCTCAAGAGTAATCCTGTCATTAAGGACATTCATCTCAATCACCTAGGCAAGGAAGAGCATTCAATTTCAAATGTTTACAATGCTTGTCTTCACCAAAACTGTCCCAAGGTGAACATGAAGAAACAGGAAAAATGGTACATAAGCACCTCCAAATTTAATCTAAATCCAGGGTTCTTAGTCTCAGTGCTATTGACATTTGAGGCTAGATCATTCTTCGTTGTGGGGGATTCCCCCATGCATTGTCGGATATTTAGGAGGATCCCTGGTCACTACCCAATAGATGCCATTAGCACTCCCAGTTGACAAATAAAAATCTCTCCAGACATTGCCACATGTCCCCTAGGCAGATCACCCCTAGTTGAGAATCACTGCTCTAAATAAATTCTAAACCAGTCAGATGTCTGGGAAGTCTTCCAAAGATAAAAACACTGGAAGAATTTTCCCAGTCAGCAGTCTGGAGCCTGATTCATGTTCCTTTGGAGTCATTATAAATTCTGTAAATGAATTATCCCCCTTCAGTCTTCAGAAACATACCTTATCACGTGTATTTGAGTTTTGTTGAAAGGATGGAGTCCACAAAGATATCATTCTTGAGTCATGGGTTCCTTTGCTTACAGAACGGTCTGGCATTTTTGGAAACAAAGAAAATAGTAATCATTTAGACTGTGGCACAGCAATGCACTGAGTAAAGGACCAGGTAGAGGAGCGGGGCTGTTGACAGCTGTAGTTCCATATGCAAGTACAAAGAAAGATAGGCCTCATGTGAGTGAACATAATTGAGGTGAAGACTGCTTAGAGTTCCAGTTTGCTGGCCAATTCACCTGCCCTGTTCTTTTCCATCCACCCCACAGAGTCAATTGGTTGAAAGGAGTTATTTTTCCCCATGGCTTCAAACAAAACTTAACCCAGAATTGTAAATAGTGGCTACAGGAATTCTTTTCCAAAATGCTTTCCCCTTCTTTTCACTGCCTTTTATAGCCAAGATAAGTGTCCATTTACACACCTTTTGTTGTGGTTTTATATTGTAACACCATTTTTCTTTGAGACTATTGTATTTAAAGTAAGGTTTCATATAATGTCAACAAGTAATTAAATTATGTTTGAAAGGTGGCCATATTCTGTACCAAAAGCTGTTACTGTTTTTCTTCTACCTGGTAAAAGTAGGATTTTGCATGACCTCACACCTTTTTGTTCCATGGTTTGTTCTATTGCTTGACGGTGTGTGTGTGTGTGTCTTGGGAACTGCTATGTACTGAAATGTGCCTAGGTTTCATGCACTCTCCTTGTGTTTAAAATAAATATCAGAGAAAGGAGGGTGATTAGGAGCAGGTTGAGCTGTTGATCACAATGAGAAATTGCTATGTAGCGTTCCTGCGCCTCCCCTGTTACCCAGCTTCCCTCAACTCGGAAAGCCTGGGCACCTGCTCCCCACCCAGGCCCCTTCTGTAATGTGTACCTTAGTGCATGGGCTTGTCCTAACTGAAGAGTCACTAAAAAGAAGTGCATTATCGTTGCTGTGTCTCCAAAGGGTGTGTCCCGGCACCGCTCGTTTCAGATGCTGGTTTAGGACCAACCACATAATGAAATCTTAGAATCTCATTGAGAAAGAGAGCTACCTGTTATGCAGATGTCAGATTGGGTTTTTTTTTCTTTCTATTTTTGTGCTTTTTCTTGTTTTGTTTTGATTACTTCGTGACTCTTATAGTGTCATCTTCTTGCCAAAACAAAAGCGAGATGAAATGGATTTACGTAGATAAGTCATGAAGCAAATGTATTTCTCTCTCCCGCACTTCTTAAGTTCCAGCAATAATGAAGGGTCAACTCTACTTAAAATCCAGATATCTCTCATTCAGTTCAATGTGGGTTTTTTTACTTTAAAATGAACCAAAATCAGATTTTTTAAAGATGTACAGGCGTCAGAAAAAAGAAGCACATGCCGTTGGTGCAATAGCATTCACTGTGAACACGTGTACCCAGATATTAATATGCAATATTGTTTCCAATACTTTCTAATACACTTTTTTACAATGTTGTGTGTGGTGATTGGTAAAGTCCAATTTATTTGTATCCAATGCAGCTTTAGGTCTTTAACTGCCATTCTGGCAAATACATGTACAGGATTGTAAATGAGAAAATGCAGTTGTATTTCCAGTCTGCCTCTATGATGATGTTAAATTATTTCTGTTTATCTGTGAACAAGAGGTATACCCCTGGAAGAATAGAGTCCTTTTGTACACATTTTGAAATGCTTCTTCTGTAGTGATAGAACAAATAAACGCACCAAATCCTCTGTCTACCCCATCACACGAAGTCCACACAAGTGTGAGACAAACCCCTACAGAGTAGCGGTCTGCTGCAGATTCCCCGGGTCAGAGAAGGCAGAGGCGGGCCTTGAGACTGTGCGGCCTGAGCTGGGAATCATATGTGATCATAGGCGTACAGTGTTTCCAGCACAGCAGTTCAGTTCAGCATTCTGACTGCCTCCTGTCTAAGCTGTACTGGGCTTGGGGCACTAAGTCTCGGTCTTTGACTTCAAAGTGTGGATTTAAGGGTGAGTGGAGGCACTGGGCAACAAGAAACATTCCCGGCTCTTCACAGCACGCGGCAGAATGCCGCGAGCGCCAGGCCCACGGCTGGGGGAGCCCAGAACACAGTGACCGACCACAATAACCACCTCTCATGGTCCTCACGCTGCAAAGCTGCACACTTAGGCCAGGGCTGGGCAGTACCAGAAGGCTCATCTCAGCTCTACCGCAGAACTGCATTACTGCACACTCTCTCCGTGTGACAATGCTCTGTCCATTTTGGAGAAATAGCCAAACATCATGTGGGTCCAGATCTAGTAAATAAGCGGAGGTGCCAAGTTTATATGGTGCAACATTTGATCCAAATGAGGTGAAACTTGAATGAAATAAGCAGATTGTACTGTTTGACATCAGGTGCTGGCATCAGCTCCCAAGGGGACTTTCAAAAATATCATTGGCCAAGGCAGCATCTTTCGAGGAAGGTTTCAGCCTCCTTAGGTGACCTCACTGAAAGAGCATGTTGCTGGGATAGATGAATGTGATGATACACCCATTTGAAATTGGTTCCACCATTTTACAGCTACGCCTTATTATTTCTCAGTGATCACAGGTCAAAAAAATAAGGAATATCTGCATTTACTTAGAAATAACCTGGGCTCGAACTCAAAGGGAAAAGTGACTCAATCGGGTGGGGGTTGATGGTGAAGGTGAGGTATATGCTTGGGTATATCTTTGCAGCTCAATTCCTTATGAAACTTAATAAACATGTACTGAAGGAATTGTGATAAAAGGAGTTGCTTGCACTAATCACTCGCAAGCCTGCCCGGCCCTCGGTGGAGCACACAGGAGTGCTCGTCTGGATGTGGTGACTGGATGAGGGCGAGGTTTCAGATCTTGATTTCCAGAGCCACCAGTAAGATGATAGACTCCATTTCTTGGTTCTCACTAACTTTTATTTCAAGTCAGCATAAAAATGATTATTCTCACCATAGCCTTTTGACACTTTAACCCTCAGGGTCCATATACCTTCCTCTGGTCCCCTGCAAACTCTTGGTGAGTCATGGTGCCTCCACTCAGTGTGCCCCGATGATGGACCCCATTCTGGGGAGGCTGATGTGGAGGGGGTGCCCTCTTTGTGGGTTGATGGTGAGGACCACAGCAGCTCAAGTGCACTCCTGGGAGTGGGAGGAGTCGGGAAAGGTCTGCCTGGTGGGCCCCAGGAAGCACCGGATTCTGGGGGGGACCTACCAAGGTGAGAGGAGCCAGGCAGCAGGCTTGGAGGACCCAGCAGGAGCTGAGTGGATGCAGTGCTGTGGGCCTGCCACTCTTCCCAGCCTGGAGCAGCCCTGGAGCACCTGGACACTCCATCTGTGATGTGTCCCCCTGGGGCAGCCCCGGAGGTCACGTGCATGCATTTTATCGTTCCTGCTGGAAACAGCTGCCCTGGTGCGTTTCACTTCTATTCCAGATGAGTGCTGTAAATTTAAAAGTCATGCTATATTTTAAATGTTAGTGTGAAATTTTGGGTGCTAAAGATCAAGATTGGGGGCTCAAAGATTCCTGATCCCATTTCCAATTAATTAGTCATATCTTCTGTCAAAATAAAACATCTTGGAGGTTTTGTGACTCCTTGGTAAAACCTTCTTGCGTTCTCATCAAAAACACATGGATTCTCAAGGAACAGAATCCCGTGGCTGTTTCCTAACGTCACGTTTTTGGTATGGCCTGTCAACTCCAAACACAGAACTAGACACAAAAGCGTGCTTGAGAAATTGGTGAAAGACTCAGGGAATTCTCGGACCCCCAGCATAGGAACTCTGTGTCCTTCTAAGCCAGGGCATCACTCTGAACCCCTCTGGCCTTTCTCTGCACCAGAACCCAGAGCAGCAACCGGCAGCACAGCTCTTGCGCAGAGCTGGAGCCAAAATCTTGCTGTTGCCTACACATCATCTGTCTTACCTGTCTTTCCCCAAATAGCTCACCCTTCACTACCACTAACGAGGAGGAAATGTATCCCTTTGGCTCGTAGAATAACAGTCCTGCCTCAGCAGCCCAGGCTCCTGTCCTCTCCTTGGCCCCTCCTGCCATTAACCCACATTCCCAGTTCCCAGCCTTAGGCTGCCTCGAGATGCCCTCACCCACTCCAGCCTTCCTCCGGTGCCAGTGCTTCCAATGACCCCCCCTCACATGACCTTGGGTCTCAAATGCAGCTCAGAATCACCCGGGTGGGTAAAAATGCGATTTCCAGAGACCCACTCCTGGTCGTTCTAGAGCTGGAGGTCTGCCTGGAGTCCACCCACCACGTGTGGAACCAGCTCCCCAAAGTAGGCTAAGCTAACTCCTGTCCTATTCCTCCTCGAGGCAGTTAGAGCCTTAACCCTCTTCTCCAGCCCATGCACTTTTTTTTTTTTTTTTGAGGGAGGAGGAACAATTAATAATGTCTCTCTCTTCACCTCTTGAGTTTGAAATGACTCAGATATAAACAAGAGAATCAGAGAGTAGGAACCAAAATACTAGCTGTGTTACCCATGAACACAGCTTCAATGCGTGACCACAGCTTCAATGCGTGACCAGAGCAGGCTTGCCAACCCCCACCCTGCACTGGACAGACTGGCTCGCCCGGACGCAGGCAGCACTTAGGCTCAGGCACCCCCTGAAAAGGCTGAGCCCCTGCCCTGCAAGATGGAGGAGAGGGGACCAGAAGCCCCGCCGCCCGCCTGTAAGCAGCAGACCCCAGGAGAGCAAGTGGAAGCATGCTCAGTTCCTGCATCCAGAGGAGTGGAAATAGGTAACTCAGCAGGTGGTGGGGAGCTGCTGGAGACCTGGAGGAGAGAGTGATTGATGCCTTGAGAGCTAGGGAGAGGTGTGGAGGGACCCAGCGGGAGTCCTGGCAGGGAGACATGGCTTTAACCTGTGCATTGCTGCTGAAACTGGAGACAAGTCAAGATTAGAGGGAAGCAGCAGGCAGAGGACTTGAATCTCTGCCGCTAGAAGGCAATCTCCAGGAGCGGGGTTTGGTTTCTTTAATTTACTGCCATATCCTCGGTGTCAAGAAGAGTACCTGGAACGCAGTTAGGTGCTTGCTATGGTCTGAGTGTCTGTGTCCCCACAACATTCAAGTGTGGAAAACCTAACCCCAAGTGATGGTGTTAGGAGGTGGGGCCTTTGGGAGGTGATTAGGTCTTGAGGGTGCAGCCCTCATGAATGGAGTCAGTGCCCTTATAAAAGAGACCCCAGAGAGCTCCATTGTCCCTTTCACCATGTGAGGACATGTTGAGGAGTCTGTGATTGATCCAGAAGAGGGTGCACACCTGACCCTAATCTCAGACTTCCAGCTTCCAGAGCTGTGAGAAATAAATGTCTGTTGTGTATGAGCCACCCAGTCTCTGGTATTTTGTTATAGCAGCCCTAATGGACTAAGAAGATGCTCAATAAATATTTGCTGCATAATGATCTATTTAAGATGATTAAATCGATTGCACACTGGAGGAAGAATGAGGAGTTGACCCAAGTCTCAGATCCTACATGAGCCATTAATAGGAAAAGGGGAGACAGGCTGAGGGTTTGAAGAGCTCGATTTTGTTTAATTGAAGCAATTGGATGAGGAGAACAGGTGAGCTTTAGAGCAAGGTGGTAGATTTGAGAGTCATCAGCACGTGCATAACTGTCAGAGAAGCTGTGACAGACACCTGAAGGTGCCTAAGGAGAGAGAGGAGGGAGGGTGGGAGACAGCAGAGGAAAAGAAAGGGATTGGTCCAGACAGAAGGAAAGCCGGTTGAGGGCAGCATCCCAGATCTTCTCTATGCAAGAAGAGAGACCATAAATAGGACCAATAAAGCAGATGAAATGAGGAGTGGCTGAGAAGAAGCCACTAGCTGAGTATCTAGGATGCTCACAGTGACATTCAGGGAGTGAGTCCATGGAGGGGTGGCAAGTGGGTGCCAGAGACGCTGGGTGGAGGCGGGCTGGGGCCTCGAGAGAGAAGCTAGCAGGGAAGAAATGGGGAACTCAGTGCACCATGGCCGCAGACCTCAGCTTGGACCCAATGCTTCAAAAATGCCAAGTTCTGGGCAGTATTTTCCTAGGGAGGAAGGCAAAAACCTCAGTGTGACGTCCACCTGCTGTCTCCGCTTTTTGGCAAGGCCAGGCTCAGGACAAGGCCAACATCCCTCGAGCTCTGTCTCCTGCAGCCGCCCCTTCTGGGGCCGGTGGGTGCCCTGGGGAGCCGGCTGCTGGTCCCCTCCTGCTCAAGGAGCCAGCCCCACACCTCCTCCTGGGCAGCAGGGCGCCGCTCGGCCGAGCAGATGGGCTGTGGCTACCCGGTGAATCGGCACGACGGGAAGCAGATGCACCCACCACATCCCCGTGCACAACTGGGAACCAGCTGCTGGGGGAGGAAATTTGCATAACTAGGATAATTTGGTACCAAAACTGTCCCCTGAAGTGAACTGCATGGATCTCGGTACAGTTAACAAATTTCACTTCTTCTTTCCCATGTTTTGTCAAACCAACTAGATATGACGTTGAGTGTGTGAATTGTCCAAAGATGTTTTGTTTCTCCCTTCATGAGTCAGTCCCAGGCCTCTTCTCTCTCTGCTCTGCCGTGGACTTAGGCTCACACTCACAGGGGTCCTCTCCCGGCTCATTCCTGGGCACACACGGATACGCCCAGCAGTGCCCTCCCTGCCAGCAGTGTCACCCCGAACGCCCTCCCAGGCGGGACCAGGCTCTCCTCTGGGGTGGCATCACTCCTGGCATCTCGCACCACTGTCCTGGCACCTGCGGCAGCTTCCTCCTCCTCATCATCCCTCCCGCTTCCTGCGGGCGAGGGCGGGCCCAGGCCCCACGGTAAGGAGGGTCTGTGGTTTCAGGGCCCTCAATTCAATTCCCCTTTCGGGGCCCTCCTCCCTTCTAGGCACTGCCCTTCACAAAACCCGCCATGGCTTCCCTTTGCCCACACCCAGATCCCACCCCTTTAAGCATCATGATTCCTTTTTAAAATTGCTTTCATACCATCCCACGGGAAAATAGTTGTACGTTTATATCCACCGCTACAAAAATAAAGTAGGCTTGCGTATGAGTTCAGGGAGGTCTGCCACCATCACTGTGACTCTGAGAGGTCAGGGAACTGGTCTAGGGTTCAAGTCCACACTCTCCAGAATGGTGTTTGTCCTGATAAGGCCTGACTCCAAGTGACCGCTCTAACCTTGCGGGCTGCTGAACTGGTAATGTAGCGATGCTGAGCTCACCCTACCTAACTGATTTCTGGAGATTTCTCAGGACCAGGTCTGTGTGTTCCTAGAACCTTTGTTTAAGTCTATGTTGGGGCTCTCACAGTGCTGTGTGTTAAGCGTCCACCTCCTCCACCCGACTGTGAGCCTCTGGAGGGCAGAAGCTTTGCCTCAGTTGTCCCCAAACAGCGAGCAAGAGCAGGTGCCCGCAGCCTTGGAACAGTGTGTGGGGTGTAGATAGACCCTCCATCCTGTCCCCTGGGCTCCCTGTGGTTTTATCTCGGTTGATAACCAGGATCGCAGCCCAGGACTCTTCCTTCTGAAGCCCCCTCCCATCTTTCCACTTGCTTCAGGGCCAGCGTCACTCTCCCCAGAGAAAGGCAAGAGGCAATAGAATGCAGGCCCCTGGTTCCCAGTCTCCCTGGGGCTCTCCAGAAGGGTCCTCTCTGTGTTCTGGCATTCAGGCCCTCATGGGGGGTGGTCTCGTCCAGGGGACAGTCTGAGTAGTCCTGGGGGGAAGCTGCTGAAGTAGAGTGAGAAGGACTGAAAGGCAGAGAAGGCAAGCCTGCGGGGTCCCCTGGACCAAGTGCATCTCAGTGAAATCTTGAGAGACTGAACAGAGAGGAGAAAAACGGAATCATGCAAAATACTCAGTTAAAACCAGAGAAGGGGGAAAGAGTGGGAGACAAAAACAAAACAAAACAAAGAACAAGGCCAGCAAATAGAAAACAGTAACAAATGTGGTGAATACTAATGCAACTGTGTCAATACTCCTTTAAATGTCATTGGTCTAAATGCACCAATTCAAGCACAGAGATTGTCAGAGCAGATCCACAAACAAGATCCAACAGTGGTTGTCTACAAGAAAGCCACTTTTAATATATTTAAGACATATATAGATTAAAAGTAAAGGTGTGCAGAAAGATATACCTTGATAGGTATAGAGGTCAGGGAACCTGACCTTTGATTAGTGAATCAAAAGAAAGTGGGAGTAACTATATTAATTTCAGACAAAGCAGACTTCAGAGCAAGGAAAGTTATCAGGGATAAAGAAGGCCACTACATAATGATAAAGGGGTCAATACCCAAAGAAGACATAACAAACCTTAATGTGTATGTGCCTAACAACAGAGCATCAAGATATGTGAGGCAAAAACTGATAGAACTGCCAGGAAAAATAGAGGAATCCACTGTTACAGCTAGAAAGTTTAACACCCCTCTCTCAGAAGTGGACAGATCCAGTAGGCAGGAAATCAGTAAGGACATAGTTGAAGTGAAAGACAGAAGGAGTTATTTGGGTGGAAAAAAAGTAGCAAGAAAATTTGAGGCAGAGGGACAGCATGAGTACCGTTGCAGAGGATCGAATGAGGAACCTTGTATTTGAGGAAGGCCATGCCATGGAGTTTGGCTAGAATGTCCTGGGAGAGCTTTCAGGGCGGGCAGCCTCTGTGGTGCTGAGGGGCTGGCCCACCAGGAGGACCAGTAGGAGGTGGGTTCATCCAGAGAAGGGCTCTCTCAGCATCAAGACTAAGGGGGGAAGCAGAAGATGAGCCCCTGTCCTGGTCCTGGAGCTGCTGGGCTGTTAAGTGACAGCTTGGGCCCTCTGGAGGAAGGGCGGAGATGGGTGTGAGCATCAATTTCAGGTAGTGAAACTAAAGCCAGGGAAGCAGAGTGGCTTTTTCAAGGTCACAGAGAGTCACCCTTGAGCCGCATTTCCTAAAGCCCATTATGCATAATACAAAAAGGAGAATGGGGCAAAGTGGTTCCGGAAAAGCCACACACTCCTGCCCCCTTTCGGAGATTCACACTGTACGTTAGCATTTGAAATGCTCTGAGAAGAACAGAATATAGTTTATTTAATCCACCTTCCCACAAATGGGTTTAACCCCCCAAAAATCCCCATCACACTTTTTATTATCAATATGTGCATCACTCTAGGAGGGGAAACACTTTACGGCAGGGCAGAACAGCACCCAGCCTGTCCCCGCTCTAGGAAGAGCTCCCCAGGCTGTCCCCCAGCACTGAGGTCCCTGACGGCTGCCCAGCAAGGCCATTCTTGTGGCACTAGGTCCTGTGCCAGGGCCCCTGCGAGTTCCTCATGTTGGTCGCATCACCCCATTGGGTGGTCATTAGCACCTGCGACATGGATGAAGACAGAGGCTCAGCTTGGTGACTCGGTGGATGTCACACACCCCAGGGGTGAAGCTGGGGTGAGAATACAGGCCCCTCGCCCTGGATGGTGCCCCCCAACCCTCCATGGAACAGATTGGTGTCTCTACCACAGAGGGGACCTCGTGTGAGCTGTTTCCTGCCTTCCAGAAGTTAGCCTTTCTGTGAGAGCAGAACCATCTCGGAGGTTGTCTGATTATTTCCAACAGGGGTGTAGCCAGGGAATTTCAGAATTGAAATTGGGGGCATGAGTCATTCTCTTTATGACAGGAAAAAGAGGCAGGATTGTCTCCTTCCTTGGCCTTTCATGCCTCTACTCGATGTTGAAATTTAGGACCTGATTTAGGGCCCAGAGAATTCAGAACAGATTTAGGTCCTGAGTACCTGTGTTGACGTGTGAAGAGTAGCAGCATATCATTTCTGTATATGTTTTCTGGTTCATGCTTTGGTGAAAAATACCACTAGACTAGCTGTGAAATGCTTGGAGACTTGGAAAAAAAATACCACTGGCTGAGCTGATATTGTATACCAGGCACAGTGCTAGGAACCCTACGTAAACACTCCTGTGATTCTTACGAGCTTCCATTATACCCATTGACAAATATGGAATCCTCAGGCTCGGACAGGACAAGCGATTTCCCAAAGTCATACAATGTTCACAGATCCCAGATATCCAAGATAATGCAATTTACAATAACAAAATAAAAGCAATATGCCAATATTGAGGTATAGAATGTCTCAATAGTATATCTAATATGTTGTTTTTAATGTAAAGGAAAAGGAAACGTATCAGTTAAGCTAATAAATTATCTTTGTTTTCCAAATAGTTCTCCCTGCCTGGATGCCTTTATGTATCATTCTCACTTACATTTGCCAGTATACAGACTTTCCAGTTTAGATTCAGTCATTTTTTATTTTATCCATCACCACACACAGTTGCAAAAATTTTTTCTTGTGTGATGAGAACTTTTAAGATCTACTCTCTCAGCAACTTTCAAATATACACTACACTACAGTAGTGTTAACTATAGTCACCATGCTCTACATTACATCCCACAACTTATTTATTTTATAACTGGAAATTTGTACCTTTTGACCCCCTTCACCCACCGGCTTTGAGGAAGAATCCTCAAAATTGTTTCTCTTGAGTGGTGTAAAACTTGCTTACAATACTTTAAGTGGGGAGGTTGAGGCAGGGAGGCAGGGGGCAGGCAGACAGAATAGTTTTGGGAAAAAACATGATAAAGAAACGTGAAAATTCACTTCTGTGGTGTGTGCCTGAGTTTTAATGATGGAATGAAGAAATGTGCTGAAAACAATTGGTAATTCAGAAGGGAAATCAGAAGTAGTAGAAAACTGAGTGGAAAAAATAGCAAGGAAAAAAAGGTTCAGCCACACTAAACTTGTTAATATGTAGGGATTCTTTTCGAAGTCTTAGCCAAGTATCAAACAAATACCCAGCACGAGATGCCAAGAGTTCACCTTCTTGGATAAAGTGAGGTTCAGAAAGAATTTCCTCGAAAGACCCTGCTTTATATTACACAAAATCCTTAATCCAATCTTAGGATAAAATTAAATCTCCCCATTGGATGACAATCTCCGTGTCTTAAAAAGGACATTGACAAAGCCACAATTGACCACGCAGCCTTCCAACACTCTCCCAAGCACCCCACGGGGCATAATGCTTAACTTAATAGCACACAGTAGGTGTTCAATAAATGTTTGTGAAATAATTATAGTCCCTCACTTCACATTCTAATATCAGTGTTTCTGTTGATCTAAATATTTCTTAATACAAAGAGTTGCTGAAGACCAGGACATGATGAATGTGAGACTTTGACTCTGCCCTAATATCCAAGAAGGTAGGAAACTACCCCACCTGAATCAACAGCCTCGTGCAGCATTTCCAACGTTGACCTAAAAGGAAATCATTTCTCAATGCCAGGCCTTCCTTATGAAGGCCTCTGCACCCAGGACTTGAATAGCCTTCCCACCTCATGGTTGAATGCAGCATTCCTCCCAGGGGACACGGATACACAGTCACTGAATGAATATTTCTACACATAGAACAAAGAGTACTGCAGGGGCAATGTGAACAGCAATCCTGAGACAGCAGTGTCATTATCCCCCATATCTTAGAGACAATGTGAGAGAGGCTTAGAGAGTCACAGACCTCCCCTGGGGTCTCCCAGCTGCTGGGAGCCACACCTGTCATCACACCGTGGGGCCAGGGGGCAGCTCAGACTCCTGATGACTTGGGCTGGAACTTGTGTACAGCAGGATCATGTGAAGCAACCAAAAAGGAAAATGATATCTTACCCTTAGGATTACTTGGTCACTGCCACACTCTCTGGGTGCATACATACCCCTGTTTAGCTGTATTGAGAGATCAAATCTAGCGTAGCTGAAAAGGCATGTCTTACAAAAGCAAAGAGCAATTTGACTTCTTGACTGCTTGGAGAAACAGCATCCTTTCCACACCTGTAGCATGGAGATGCCAGAACCTACATCTCAGAGTATTTGTTTCATTCCTCAAACAGAGGTTCTACGTAGAACAGTGTTGTTCCATACAGTAGCCACTAGCCACATGTGGCTATTATTTAAATTCATTAAAATCAAGTAAAGTAGAAAATTTAGTCCCTCGGTTGTAATAGCCACATTCCACGCTTTCAATAAGCCATGTGTGGCTGTGGCTACCATATTGGACAGTGCAGACATGGAACCTGTCCAGCGCCATGGAAAGCTCTTTAGAGAGTGCTGACGAGACACCCATGTCTGCCTTGCTGCCCAGCCCCCAGTGTCCAGCACTGCACTTGGAACAGAGTGGCTCCCTGCAAACATTAATTCCCTCCCCATTAAACCATGCGCTCCCAGCTTGTTCCCGAAGCCTGCCCTGGGTTACTGAATCCTGAAGGCTGCCTTCAATATTCAAATTATGCAGCAACTTTCACTTCCCCTTTGGGGACTGGGCCTTTCACTCTGCCAGCC